GTCAAATTAAAACCTAAGTTATACAGGTCAAACCTATTTATATTTACTCATAAATAAATCCAATTACATTCAGTATGGTTTTACTCTTTTTAGGATTGCAGTCATACTTAAATTGTTTTTTCCAGGTGATTATCCATAAGAAAGCATGAACAATTTTGCATATATCTCATCTGGTATCTTAAAATGAGTGTATTCACATGGTTTTAGTGCCAAATCTAAACAGATCAAAAGGAAGCATATAGTGCTACATTGCCACACCTTAAAATATTTCTAAATTCTAATAAAAATAATTTACAATTAAAACCCTTTCATTTTTGTGAGCCCAGTTAAATGCTTTTTATTATTTCATAACACTGTGACAAACCAGTGTAAAGATGTTATAGACAATTCTGAAAGCCAGATTCTATCTATGTTGCCTGGAAGCTAGTCTTACTGAATTCAGAAGCTGTACTATTAGTAATTACAATTGTATTATATAGCTTATTTAACAACTGAAAACCTCATCAAGATGAGGGAGATTGGCTTTCTTACAACCCTTCTGACAACTGGGTGATACATGCTGTTAAAATATTTATAATTTTAAAAGCCAACATAATATTTTTCGACGCCAGGCCTTTGAGAAAGCTGGTGGGTAGGAGGGAATAAATTCCAAGATGTCAGCATCAATATTTTAGTGGTTGGCAATTAAATTTGTAGGATTTAAAAATGGTTCTAATTATTTTGGGAAAATATTCTATGGTAGTACCACTAACAAGTAGTTTCACTCTGGTTTGAAAATTGTGGCCTTTGAAAAGGAAGCGTGTCTCTTTCAAATAGATGCAACCCTGAGACCAATGTACTTTGACTCCAGTTCAGTACTGTGGTGCATCATTCTAATATAGGTTTGTCCTAACATGGGATCTACAACATTAAAAGCTGCACATCCGATGCAGATACTATTATTGCATTTCAATGGTTTGAAAAGACACACCTGATGAATTTAGAGTTAAGCAGAGATCCCTATCCAAATACAGGGACTGGGAATCTGGCATTTCTTGCTACATGTATGATAAAAGTCTTGTAGAATTTTGAGCATCACTTAAGTTGTGTGGGAAAAGTATGCAATGATTTTGTAGTTGTTGCAGTCCTTGGTGTCCCCTTTCTTGGGGAGTAGAATGTATATTGAAATTTACAATTTGTGGCCTATTCTTTTGTTTTCTGTATTTTTTAAAATTAATGTTTTTATTGTAAACACAGGTATAATAATGTCAACATCAGTCACCATTTCAAAATACACAGAGAGTGTTGGTCTCTTAATATTCTTAACATTGCCAGTTCCACCTTTTTCTCCCACCTATGTCTATTGACATTACTATTGATATTTTCTGTATTTGTTAACAGATTTTAGTTAGAAGTCCAGTAGATTCTGTCTCTGCAGATTGAACGAACTCTGTTAGTTTGCCCTCTGTTCCTGTAGATTTATTTTTCCCAAGCGGTCTGAGTGCGGTCTTTGCTTTCTAAATTTGTAGGTTCATTTTCAGATGGTTCTTCCTTGATTAAATGTGTCTTCCTTTCATATCTTTTATATAGTTCTTCAGTGTATTATTTCCATTGGCTTTCTATTTGCACTTGATTGACCATTTGTGGCTTAAATTTCCTTTTGATTTCTCAGATCTTGTGGTAAAGGCGCTTGTTCTTCCTTTGTTGTCATATTCTGATTCTCTGTAATGATGATCTCCTTGTTCCCATAAGTTGATCTACAGTTGCATTTTGAGTTCTGTTCCTGTTTATGTTTCCTTTTATTTCTGCTTCTTGTCTGTCTCAACAGCTAGAAGAGCATATATTGAGGTTCCTCTTTTTTGTGGCTACAAATATTGCCTTTTTGTCTTTCTCCTTGCCTTTTCCTTGATGGCATTGCTAGTTTCTATCAAGTGTTAGGCTTAATAGTGCAAATATTTTTATTTATCTTTAAATTCTATATGGGCGTTCTTAAAGTTGTATTTTGGCATGATGATTGTGTTCTTCTTTAGCTGTATTTTAATTTTTGATATTGATAATCCATAGTGTATGTGCCACAATCTTCTGTGTGGCTTTTGCAGAAAGAATGGACTTTCTCTATCTTCTACTTCCAGTTATGTAGTATAATTGATTCTTAGATTGGTTACAACTTATTATTGCATTTACAACGAACAAACTGTTGGCCTCATAAAATTCAGTCATTCACTTTCCTGCTTTATTTATTGATCATACCCCAAAATTTCCTACAGTTTTTGATTTTGCCCCATTTTCTCATTCCAAGTAGCCTATGATTAGGAAGATCAATTACCTTCTATATTTCAGTTTCTTCTTCTGCACCTGTAGTTGGAGTATAAACTTAGATTATGGTTATACTATACATCAGGTTCTCCCTGATGTCTTATTAGTACTATTCAATCAGACTTTGCATCATATCCTTTGAATGTTTTTGCTTCATCTCTCTTCACTATTAACACTGTCCTAATTCTTCTTTCATATCCTAAGAAAAGCACTGTTCTTTTCTGATTCAAAATTATCAATTCTTGTCCATTTTAGTTCACTTGCCTCAAGTATTGCAATGTTAATATGTTCTACTTCTCGTTTACCATGTCTGTCTTCCCTGGATTCATGTTTCCCACATTCCTTGTCCCCATGATAAATTTTGCATAGCTTAGGTCTTTCAGGTCAGCAGCTGAACAATCTTTTGGCTTGAGACCACTAGCCCACAGGTTACTACCACTTGTCCTCTGCTGTATCTCAGTAGCTCATTGAGTGCCACCTGACTTGAGATTTTCATTTTGGATTGTTTTATAGAGTGTTTAAGTAAAAACATTCAAAAGAGGTCTATCGTGCCTTTTTTTTTTTTTACACCAGATCGCTTCCACTTGCAGCCCTCCAGGTGTTTGGGCCTCAACTTTCAGAAGCCCTGGCCAGATTGTTCAGTGCTTAGGAATTCTGGGGGCTGAAGTCCAAAACTGTTCTGTGCAGTATTGAAAACATTAGCTGTTGTCCTATTGTGGTTGTCTCAGAGAATCGCTATCAGTGTCACCCTCTAATATTGCTGCTGCTGCCCAGTAGTTATTTGGCACATTTAGTCTGGTTCCTTAGCAAAAGCCTTTCTGACATGGGAGATCTTCCTGGAAGCACTGATACCATCATCATAGCCACTTTTCTCACAAGAGCATGCATTCCTACAGCTGCAGAGAAGTTATACCATTCGTGAGAGTTTTATTCTATTGGTTTAGATTAACAGGAAGTTTGTTTTGACACATTATCCTGAAAAAAATAATTTAGTATGTGTGTGAACCCAAGAAAGGTTCTGCTTTGTGTTGTCCCTCTTTTCTATGTACCTTCTTTAAGACCAGCAGAAGGTAAATTAACTCGAATCTAATGCTCACCTTTTTTTTCTATATTACCTTCCCAAAATGAGGGTGCACATTAGATTTGTGTAATATGGTAAATACTATTTTGGGTTTCAGGGTTTTGAAAATTGAGTTGCGCATTAGAATTGATGGCACACCTCTGAGTTTCATCCATGTGTTTTGGACTTCAGCTTCCAGAATTCCTGACCATTGGACAAGCTAGCAAGAGCTTCTGGGAGTTGGAGGTCAACACATCTGGAGGGCCACAGATGTGCAGGCCTGGTTCAGATGTACGGGTGAATGCAGCTGCAGCCAGTTGAGAAATGTGTATTTTCTCATATTCAGAGCTAATTCATTTTTATTTTAAGTTTCACCTTGGGTCTCTTTTTCATAAATAAAAAATGTATTTTTATAGTTTGATTAGAGCAGAAGCTTGGTAACAGATGCGATGCTGCTTGTTTGGGTGCAGACGGCAAATACACAGACATATACAAATGTAAGCAAGCTTAAACACACATCAAGATGGCATCAAAGATGGTAGAGAAACGCCAATTAGTGTGGAATGTGCTAGAGTATTTAAGGTGCTTTGTTTTCCAAGTGAACCAAACCTAGTATCTGGTAAAAAGTTTTCTGTGTGCAAATTTTATTTTGAAGCATTGTGTTAATAAGCTTCAGCAGCACAAAAGTCTAATTTATTCTGTGTTTGAAGAATTTTAGGCTGTGTATTTTACTAAAATGACCTTCATTGTGGCATGGGGAGTTAACTGCTACTTTGATATTTCACACACCCAACCATGCACTAAAAGATAAAGTCCCAGCCCAAATATATCTTTTCAGACCAAAGCTTATAATGTCTTCCTAGTTGTTTAGGAAAGCGGGTGTGATGTTAATTCCTTGCTACATTTAATTGCTTTATTTAAATTTGTGTTTCTCCTATTACATTATTTCCCTTTCTGTATTTTCAGAATAATAGCTTATCTATTTTGTATATTTCTTTATTTGTAATCTCCTTGTTTTTGTTACGTTTTTGTTACATTAAATTTGATAAAGTTATATTTCTAGATTTCCTAGCTACTGTCAATAAGATCTTTTTCTTCTCTGTTCTGTAACTGACCGCTATATACAGCATTCTTAAACATTTGTGCAAAATGAGGCTGGGGGTGGGGGTTGGGATCTGAGGATACATATTCAGAATTTCTTAGTGTTAAGGAGTACCAACTGATAGGACTTTCTGGTTGCAATCATGTACCTACCTATCTGAGAATTCAGTACATGTGTAAACATATGCTGCTTGGTTAATAATCTGAATTTAAATTATGTATTACATTTAGCTAAAATAAATAAATTTCAATATTAATAAATTACTTTTATCAAAACTTGTATGCCTTTTGGAGGTATCGAAAGATGCATTAGTTAAATTTCAATAAGAAGAGCGATTTATCTTTCGCTGTCAGCACACTTCTTTAATATTTTTTCTTTTTATAAATGCCCTATCATTCAGAAAACTGAGTTAGCTCTACCAGTTAAATTTCATTTCTCACAATTAATCAGCTATAGAGTTAGGTTCTGTGTTGTTTGTATAGTGCATGTTAGCATGTTCTGCTGTTTAAACCTCCCTCACCTTCTATCTGGGCTGTCCTATAGGTTTTCTGAGCTGCTGCTATGAGGAAACCCCGGAGGAGGTCCCGGCAGACCTTAGAAGGGAGACGTTCTCCTTCGCCGTACAGCTTGAAATGTTCACCCACTCGGGAGACTCTGACATATGCTCAAGCTCAACGAATAGTGGAGGTTGATATTGATGGGCGTCTCCATCGCATCAGCATCTATGATCCACTAAAGATCATCACGGAAGATGAGCTCACTGCCCAGGACATCACAGAATGCAACAGTAACAAGGAAAACAGTGAACAACCATTGTTTCCTTCAAAATCCAAGAAAACACAATGTAAGGGCAAGAAAAAGGAGACATGTACAAAACATTCTCCCGGGACATCCTTCCATCTGCCACAGCCCAGCTTTCGAATGATAGAGCCCTTCAGCCAACCAGATGCTCCACCTTTGCCTTCAGCATACTATCAGTATCTTGAGAAACTACCCGAGGATGTTGATGCTGAAGTGGAATATGATATGGATGAGGAAGATTTAGCTTGGCTTGACATGATCAACGAGAAGAGGAAGAATGATGGTTACGGGTCAATTTCTGCTGAGACTTTTGAACTGCTGCTGGATCGATTAGAGAAGGAGTCCTACATGGAGAGTCGTAACAATGGAAGCCAGCAGACCTTAATAGATGAGGATGCTGTTTGTTGTGTTTGCATGGATGATGAGTGTCATAACAGCAATGTAATTTTGTTTTGTGACATCTGTAACTTGGCTGTGCATCAGGAATGTTATGGAGTACCCTACATTCCCGAAGGGCAGTGGCTTTGTCGCTGCTGCCTGCAGTCCCCTTCCCACCCTGTTGATTGTGTCTTGTGCCCAAACAAAGGTGGTGCCTTCAAACAGACCAGTGATGGTCACTGGGCCCATGTTGTTTGTGCCATCTGGATCCCAGAAGTCTGTTTCGCAAACACTGTGTTTCTGGAACCCATTGAGGGGATAGAAAATATTCCACCAGCTCGCTGGAAATTAACATGTTACATCTGCAAGCAGAAGGGCATGGGAGCAGCCATTCAGTGCCACAAGGTGAACTGCTACACTGCTTTCCATGTTACCTGTGCCCAGAGGGCTGGTCTCTTCATGAAGATTGAGCCCATGAGGGAGACCAGCCTCAATGGCACAACATTTACTGTGCGCAAAACTGCTTATTGTGAGGCACATTCCCCTTCTGGTACTCCGAAGAAAGGGCGCACAGTTACTGTTCGTGGAAGAAGAGAAGACATTGCAAAGAAGGAGGCTGGGGATGAGGGCACTCTCAAAACTAAGAACAAAGTAAAGTTGAAACAGAAGGTAAAGAAGGAAAGTTGTTCTTCGGTACCTTTACTGATGGTCACACAGATCCCCTCTTACCGGTGAGTGGTACATGTTTTCTGGTCATAGTTGCTATACTGATCCATGCATTAGTCTTAACATTTCATTTCCATATTCTCTTTAAATTGCTTCCTTTCTGCTTTGTGTTCTGTTCAGAACTACTTACCCTATATACTGTATTCATGTATAAGTCTAGAAATTTTAATTAAAAGTAAGTATAAGTAAGTATAAGTAAGTATAAGTCATGTACCTTAACTCCTCTCAAAAATGCAACCATTCCCTTCTCTGTTTAGAGTGGTGAAAGACAAGAGCTTAGTCTATCCTGAGAAAGCATTTAAAAAAAACACCAACCCCCTTTATTCCGTTTGGCACTACTTCTGGCCATTTTAAATGCCTGGGTAGAGAAATTGTGGCAGTGTTGGCCAAAGGGCAGCAGGCTCCTTGAGATGGCATTGGTGCTTTCCCCTCTCTGCAAAATGACCTACAGGTCACATCAACGTCCATAGTTTTAGCCTCAAAACCTACTTTCAATTAATACATGAGATCAATGTATAAATGAGTATATACAGTTATTTAACTGAGACTCCTTGGATAGCACTGATCATCTGTATTGGTATCTTTGTATGTTGTACATATCTATGTATATATGTTGACTAACATCACAGTTGTACCTATTTAGATTTTGTGTGCAAATGAATTTTTAAAAATGGCTTTATATACAAGGTGTGCTCATGAAATTCTTCTAAAATGTAACATAATAAGTCAATTGAATTAAATTAGAAAATAAAATGCAGTGCCAACCATTTTAGGTGAACTCGATTGAAAACATATTGATAACGACTACTTTGTGTATATTTGCTACATGAAATATAGACAGTCTAACTATATAGCCTTATTCTATGGTTACGTTTGTTGCCTAGTTCTCCTGAATTACTGTATGATAGTTACTGAAATGCTAACTTACTTGAATTAAATCTTTGAAGTACTAGTAATTTGGTTCATTTGAACTTAGTCACTGATTGTTGCCCATTATACTATTACTGCAGCTTAATTGAAGCTTTAGAACTGTTTCTAATGAAGTCGGTTTGACTGTTGAAAGTCTTTGATGAACTTGAGATACTTGTGTAGTGTTTGTTATGTGTGACAAAATTAGCATTGCATTGGAGGATTATTGTTTCGCACACCAGGTTTACAAATTTGAAACTGGGTGTAATACTTGTTAGGAACATATGAATATAAGGCCTATGTAGCTCAAACCAAGGCCTGACCAGCATTCTCTCCCTGACAAAACTGAGCAAATGCTTCTGGGAAGCCCAAATGAAATCCATTAACATAGTAACTCCTCCTCCTTGTGTTTGCCAGCAGTTTGTATTAAGGAGCATATACTGTCTGATGCTGGTTACATCATGATTCATATTTTTTCTCTATGAATTGCCTAATCTACCTATAAAGTGCTTTTTAATTCATGACCACCACTGCATCCAATGTAAATGAGTTTCATATTTCAGCTACATGCTGTGGGAAGAAGTGCTTCCTTTTACCTGTTCTGTGTTTCCTGCCATTCAGTTTCATTACATGACTGAAGATTCTACTATAAAATTCTCCCTTTCTGCTTTCGCTTTTCATGTATGCATTCATGCATGCATGTCTATCAATTTTTTTATCTTTTTTTCTAAGTCAAAGTGTTTCAAATTTGTACCTTTTTAAGGGTATGAAATCTTTTGATGTTCTTGTTTTCCATAGGCTGAATAAAATCTGCAGTGGGCTCTCTTTCCAGAGAAAGAATCAGTTTATGCAGAGGCTTCACAACTACTGGCTGTTAAAGCGCCAGTCAAGAAATGGCGTCCCACTGATACGACGGCTGCACTCTCACTTACAATCCCAAAGAAATGCCGAACAGGTATAACATTTTCTTGCATCCTGAAAAAGTAGGTAGAGATCTGCTGGGTGAATTGATTCAGAGGACTTATGGAAAGATTGGAAGAAAATGGTCTGTTGTAGAATACTCCCAACAGCTAAGAACATGGATAGGAAAATCTGCAGTTAATAGTAGAAATGGAAATTCTAGGGAGTCCTGGTACAGAGTCTTGTACTGTACATTATCTATCATAATTATAGGAGTGGATTTAGCAACATTGTTTTTGGGGAAATTGTTATGCCCTATGATTATACTTTTAACCCTTCCCACAGAATACCATTTAGTTTGAAACAGTATCCTTTTGCTGTTTTCATTGGGTTTTGAAATCATTGGTTCTATGCCTTTCATGTTTCTTTCTTTGTAGATAGAACTTTAGAATTAAATCAGCACTGCCAAGCACCAATTTTTTCTTATTTTCAAAAGCTAAGAGCCACATCTACTGATTTGGTATTTGCAGTCCATTGACTTTGTTCTGGTGTACTTGTTTCCTGAGATCATGAATCCAAACGTTATTATTCCTACTTAACATGACATAGGATATTTGGGTCTGAAGCAGGCATTTCATCAGGATTATTGTTTGATACTTGCTATGCCCTGTAATGGTTTGTGGTAGAAAGTGTTCTTGGTAGAAGAACACACAGTGAACTTTGGTCTCAATTATAGCACTTGTATAAAATAACAGCATATATGTGAAAAGTTACAGAAATGTCTGGAATGAATCATAGTTCTCAAAACTAGATTCTATGGTTTAGAGAATGTCTTGAGTGCGAAGGACTCTACAATAGGGTAGAGAAGTGATTCAGAAGAGAATCAAAGTGAGACCAGGCAAACAAGCAAAAACTGTCTGTATTTCACAGAAAGAACACGATGAGAAGACTGGTGCAGTGAAAGAAGAATTGAAGTACTGGCAAAAACTGCGGCATGATTTAGAAAGAGCACGGCTCCTCATTGAATTAATTCGCAAACGTGAGAAACTCAAACGTGAGCAGGTGAGCAGAAACATGGCTTGATAATCAGTTAACAATATCCCTAAACATATTTGAACTTGCTGGAACATAATTATACTATCCATGCAAACGTTACGTGACTTCAAGTTGTTTCTGACTTATGGTGACTCTCATGATGTTTGCTTGGGAAAATTTGTTGTTTGCATTCCTCTCAGGCTGAGATAATATGATTTGTCCAAGGTCACCATGGTCAGTGGGTTTCCATGGCTGAGTAGGCATTTGAACCCTGGTCTACCGAGTTGTAGTCCAAGGCTCAAACTACTACATCACACTGGCTTTCCCTTGCAAATATATGTAAGTTAATGAGGATAAATGTTACTTAATCCATGGATAAAAGTTTTAGGAAGTGCTTTGATATTCCTTGCATGGGACATTTGCTAATCTGGTCTACTGTATCAGAATGTGATATTCCAAAATAAAATAAAATTCCAATCCTTTATGGTTTATGCACCACTTTTCTAATGTTTTAAGATTGATGGGTGGGCCAGTAATTTAAATTATACATAGTTATTGCAAATTATCATTCTGATTTCTAATTTCAGGTAAAAATGCAGCAAGCTGCTCTGGAGTTACAACTCACACCTTTCAATGTGTTGCTGCGAACAACACTGGATCTACTACAGGAAAAAGATCAAGCTCAGATCTTTGCAGACCCTGTGAATCTAAGTGAGGCAAGTACAAGAAATAAATAAGTTTGACTGAAAGGCACATTCAGTTGTGAGCCAGTGCCAGAAATGAGAATTAAGTGGCCTATCAGGTATTGTTGGACTGCAACTTCACCTTTGGCTATGCTTACTCTAGGTGATGGGTGCGGATGTCCAATAATATCTAGAGGATCTGTATGATTCCCAACATTGGCTTTTGTGATTGGCAAGGGTAATGTGTTGTTGGACTGCTCATGCTGTACTTGTGCTGCTATTATAAATAGAGCAGCCCTGGGGTGCCTATGAAGAGGGTTTCCGAGTTGTCTGAGCTGGGCTTGTGTTTTGAGGAAGTTAGCCATTGCTATTCAGTAAAATAGGGCAACGTCCTTGAAGACAGCCAATTCTGTCACACCAGAAGAGACTTGCAGTTTCTCAAATTGCTCCTGACACAAAAAAAAACACACAAAATAATGCTATTTTCCTAGACTTGAATGATTTAAGTGGGTGATATTGTTATGCATTTGTGATCTACCTCATTGCGAGCGAGAAGGCATTTAGAGTGCTTGTGATGTGTACGTTGTGGTTAGCTAGTAAATGATTTTTGTAATTGTACAGGTTTTATATGTTTAGGTTCCAGATTACCTGGAATTCATTTCCAAGCCAATGGATTTTGCTACCATGAGGCGAAAGCTGGAGTCCCACCAGTATCAAACGCTGGATGAATTTGAGGAGGACTTTAACCTTATTCTTACCAACTGCATGAGGTATAACTCCAAAGATACCATTTTCCATCGCGCAGCTATCCGGCTCAGAGACCTTGGAGGGGCAATATTGCGTCATGCAAGGCGGCAAGTGGAAACTATTGGCTTTGACCCCCAATTGGGGATTCACTTGCCAGAATCACCAAAGACAGAAGATTTTTATCGTTTTTCGTGGGAGGATGGTGAGTTTTCATTGGCGGTTTCTGCTTTAATAGTAAATAAAATTTTAAAATAATGTCGCCATATATACAAGTAACATGTAAATATCGGTCTTTAAAAAGTGCTAAAATATTTGTTAAAATCTTTCTGGCTTCATTATGACTTGCATAAGATTATTAACGAAAAGTGGTTTTGACACTGCGCAAAACTGGAATTATTTTATCTCGAACATTGCACCATTCTCCAATAGGTAAATTATACATCAAAAATGCTGAAGAATGCCTAAAATGTATAAACGGAATTTGCCAGTATAAAACAGAAACAGTACTCAAAGTGTAGAGATATAAATGCTGGACTATTTTAAATAGCTATAAGTATTTTTCTCTCCATTGTGACAGAAAATGAACATTCTTCCACAGTGTTCTCTCCATATTTGAAAATGTGTTCCTCTACAGAGAAAAGCACATACTCTTTTGCACAAAATCCCTGTTTTACAGGCAAAAGCTCAATTAACAATGATTGTTTTATCTTAAACCAGATCAAAGTTTTTTATTGATTACACAGAGTATTTGATCCCTCTCTTCCTTATTGACTTTATGCTGTATCTTCTTCATGTTTTTTTGAAATAATATTTGAAAATGCTTGCATTCTATGCTATGAAATTAAATAGTAAATTTGCTACTAACTGTACAGCGTTGCACTTTGATTGAGCAGTTCAGAGAATCTTTCTCTTTCTCTTAATTAAGAATCTAAAGAATAATCACATAATCAAGTCAAGGACAAGAAAATTAATGCATCAAGACACTGCACTGAGAACATGATTAATTCAAGATGTTTCACATTTCAGAACATTTTGCAAAGAGGTGCTTGCATTAAAACCCGAGAGATGAAATCTATTTTTGTGTATGCAGAAAAGAGTTTAAAATATGGTGTATGGAAGACATAATTCAGAATTTTGTGCAATTTCCCCCCACAAAGGTGTCAAACAACAATAGAACACGAAAACAGAAATTCTTGTAATCTCATCCAGTGCTGAGAAAGTTATGGCAAGAAAAAAGTGAAGGTTGTTGGCACTGTTGTTGGCATGACGCCTTACTTCTACTCACTGGCTTACGAGGAGGAGGAATAGATAATTACATTGCTATTATACATCTGAGTAACATCTGCAATCTGTACTTGGGTCCTGTTTGCCCTGCTAACTCAGTTGACATTTTGAGTAATGATCAATTTATATTCCCCCAAGGAACTCTGTTGACTCTGAGAAATTGACACTTCTGCTTTTATGTTTCATGTTTGTTTTATGTCTGACATAATAGGTTGTGTTTAAATTTTATTCTAATTTTCTAAGTTATAATTTGTTTTTATATTCTAATTTTCGTTATTATGTGTTTATTGTTATGTTCAGGCATTGAATATTTGCCTTTTTGTGATTGGAATCCACGCTGAGTCCCTTCAGGGAGATAGGGCGAAAAATAAATGAATTTTTAAATCATAATAATAATAATAATAATTATGTTTATATTGGTGACTTACTTTTCACCCTAGTGCTTTCATCTTTTCAGTTGATAACATCCTTCTGCCTGAAAACCGGGCTCATCTTTCCTTGGAGGCCCAGCTGAAGGAGCTCCTGGAAAAACTGGACATGGTGAGCACTATGCGGTCAAGTGGTGCCCGAACCCGGCGCGTCCGCCTCTTGAGACGTGAAATTAACTCTCTCCGGCAAAAGCTGGCACAGCAACAGAGCAAAACCATGCCAAATGGAGAGCCAGCTCCATGGGAGGAAGGAGTCGAGAAAATGCTACATGGAGAACAAGATGAAGACAGGGAGAAAGGTGAGAGGTCTTTCTACATCTCTTAACAGTAGCAATTCTGGAACAGGAGTCCTCTTGGAATTCGCAGAATAAATGAAAATGCCTTGGGACATCTATGCACATGATGAGTCTTAGGAAGAAGTTGCTGAATAATGACTAATTTAACACAAACTCAAAAATCATATCAAAATGTGGAAAATATCAGAAACATTTTACAGTCTGTGGCTTTATGTTGAAATTGAGTACATATATTCATGTATAAGTTGAGCTCATGTATAAATTGAGGGTAGGTGTAGGAGATTACGTCAATGGAGTTTTATATGACCCATAGATAAGTTGAGTCTCATTCCACAGTGAAGAGAAAGTGTAACACTGCCTCAGGGGTCCAGTCAGCTCTATCATTTTTGCACCGAAAAAGCTCAGAAGTGATCGAGAGAGAAGTGGAGCAATCCTTCTTTTAGGTTTTCCTGGGATGGACTATGCTCTCACCTTTGCTCTTTTAAATAAGAATTAAGATAACAGATGGCTCCTTTTTTTGAATAAGAATTAAGGCAATGTGTTCACATTGATCTATAGATAATTTGACCCAGTTTTTTGGGTCGATTTTTTGACTAAAATTTCTAGACTTATACTCGAGTATATTTTTGTACAAGGATTCCAAAGGTTTAGGAGAAATCAGCAAATAGTTATTAAGTTGGAGAGTCTTGGATTCTTTATGTTTCAATCTGCAATCCATTTTTGCTGACATGCCTGGATCATATTCAGAGTCTATGAAGTAGAAAGCTAGACCAAGATGGTTTTCTTTTTGAGATTAAAGATAAGGTGTTTCTCTTCTTTCTGGTCTCTGTGACTCTCAGGGATATGCCATCCTGCACCTGTACAACTATAGTAGGGTTAAGCAGACTCTGAGGCTGCCTGCTTCCTATCTCTTGTTGACTAATTGTTTCAGTTACTGAAGTTTAGAGTTTGTACATGCAATTTACTTATCTTTTGTGTCCTTTAGGTTTTCCTCTGTATTTGTTTTCACTCTTTATTTCATGTTTCATTTGCTTGGGTTTCTTTGAGTTGACCTTTGGAAGTTCTCTTCCCACCTTCTCATGGGTTAAGAAGTGCTGGATTATGATCAAATGATTCCCCAATCCAGCTACCATTCCTGTAGTCTTTTGTCTTTGGGGAAGGTGTTTATGGAAGACTGCTGCATTCACTGCCAAACCTTTACTCCTCAGTTGGAGTAAACTGAAAGTGACTAAAATGTGGTAAAAATGTCCTCCAGACTCTAGATGCCATTGGGAGAAATTTGGGGGCCAAAAATATTTGTGGGGTTTGCAATAGATGTATGCAGCCCTTAATGTCTCACAGGGAGCTAAGTTGCCCACCTAGACCACTACAGCTGCCCATCCTCGCTTTTGGAAAATCTCAAATTTAGTGATGTTACTGCTTGCTTGCTGATGCTAACTCCAGTACTGTTTGTTTGCTGATGCTAACTCTTTTCTTGGATAGAGAAAATATTCTTTTGACTTGTCCTAATTATGTCAGGTCACTGTTTTTTGTTTTTGAGTCTGACAAACATGAACTTTCTACAAGTCAGAGAACAGTATCTACAACTGAAGTTGCAGTTTTGCAGAAATCTAATCTTATTTAATACGTATTGGTTCTTTCAGAAGATAAGTGTTAGCATAAGTGGAAGGTGGGGGCATAAAACTACATTTCTAATATTGATGTATGAAAGTATGTTTGACCTGTATCAAACAAATATGTTTCCCATGGAGCTCCTTTATTAGAAAGAATTGACTCTAGTTACAGTTTTTGAGAGCTGTACGATTTGACTTTTTCTAATTGGACAGTAACAATTCTTCCAAATTTAAAAGATTGGGTGTTGGCTACCAATCTAGACGAATACGTTTAAAACAATATGATACAAGTTTTATGATGCTTATGATATGATATGATATGATGATATGATATAGTTTTTTCTATCAAAATATGATTCATGTTCTCAAGTTTTATAGCAACCTATACTTCCCAGCAAAAGCAAAGAAACAGTAAAGCTAAAGTAATAACTGGTGTGTGTATCATAGAACTCTTAACAGGAGTATTCCCAGATATCTTAGCCTTATGAGTGTGCACACTATGAAGACTGAGTTTCATAAATAGGCTACAAATAAAGAATAAAACATCAGGATTTTTCCCTGTGTTATATACCATTCTCAAAAATAAAAGGATGTCACATTTTCAGTTTTTAACCCCTTTTTCAAAACCAAACTAAAGAGAGAAAAACATTATAAGCTATTTGGAAGGCGCTCCTCTCTCTCTCTCTGTCTGAGTGGAATTTACTTAGGTCCCCTTTACACTGGCTTTATATCCCAGGATCTGATCCCAGGTTTTCTGCTTTGAACTGGATTATATGAGTCTCCACTGCCATGTAACCTGGGATAAGCAGATAATCTGGGATCAGATCCTGGGATATAAGGACAGTGTAGAAGAGGCCTTAGATTGCAGCCTGCAATAGGACTGTAGCCTTATACTGGAATTATGTTAAAAGATGTTATCATCTACATCTTCTTGCTGTGTAACAGCAAAATGGGTTATATCGGTAAGCACAGTAAAGCAATCAATTTTCAATCAATGTATAAATAGGATGCTTTATATTTGCCCACAGCTGATCTAAGTTATTTATATATTTTTATTTCAGAACACATTAGATTTCTTCAATGCTTTCTGATTAATGAAGCAAACACTTAGTGTTCGTGAAAGCTCATTGTAAATTCTATCGCTTTCACATTTGTTGCTTCTTTATTAAAAACTTGCTTTGCCCAGTAATCCAGTTAGCATAGTTAAAAATGTGTCTCTTTAATGGGGCATGTAGTCCTTGAGACAAGAGGAATAAGGAGCAAAGTCAGTTCTGGAAGAGCTGGAGACACTTTCAGAATCGATATGTATCCAAACAATTGTGATAGTTGAATGGACTCTCTTGCTGTTTGCCTTTTTTTTTTTTTGCTCTAAAGTATTTTTGCAGTTTGAGAAAGCACTATAAGCAGCCACTTTCAAATAATAGAAATATGTGTTCCACTGCTCCATTCTCTTTCTGTTGTTTTGTGCTCAGAAGGACACAAACATTCATTCATTTTTAGAGTTCCTGTAATCCTGCCCATTATTGATTGCTTAGATACCATTTGGGTTACATTCAGATTGTTCAACAACTTTGTTATACGCATATTATGTTGGTATTGGAGGACCAAATGAAAAGAAGATAGGATTTGCCCAAGCAGTCAGGAAGACTGAAGAGGTTGATCAAGGGTAACATTCTGTTCCCTATTGCTTCAGATACTCAGAGGCGTGAACTAATAAGCACTTTAAAATACTTATTTTCATTACAAAATTATTGTTTTTTCATTTTACCATCTGGTCTTTTGATATAGCAATAGGAAACATGGGATCCTCCAGATGTTGTAATACAGCATCTCCCATCAGCCTTTAACATACAGCATCTCCCATCAGCTTGTGGGAGCTGCAGTCCTTTATGTAATGATATGCATTCCCTTTTTTTACATCAGAGAATGCTAAAGGCCTATTTTTATTAATGTAAAATGGATATCTGACCTTTGCCTTCTGCTTTTTAAATACAGCATGAGATTTTGAGTATCTTGACAACATGTTATATATATTCTGGTTTCTGGGGCTCTCCAAAAGGCGGAATAGTTAGGTAATATAATTCTGAACTTCGTAGCAAAAGGAAGTGCTAACCAGCTGTTAATGAAAAACATAGGGCACCTGGGATTTTAAAAAAAGCCTCAGCAATGTCTTCTCTGATGTAATCATGGCTAAACTGTGCTGGAGTTCAAATTTCTACCACAAAAGTATTGTGATGTATAGGGGGGTTTTTTTGGGGGGGGGGGAGTGGGGCACTTTGAGGAGTTCTGACTTTTCCCCCTACAAGCATCCCTATCCACCAACTACAATAACTCACAAAATCGACCCTCTGAAATAGCCCAAAGTATTATTAGTCAATTAATTTAAGATGTGTTGTTATTCTCGAGAAGTATGTTAGAAAGTGCTTTCAGAATAGATGTCACTTAGTTTTATTATTTTGGCTAATTGGTAACAATGTGTGGTTTGGAAGTGTACCGTGTTCTTATTAAATGGGAACAATGGGTTCTTTGGTGTACTCTGGCTTTGGAGGCTGCTTAGGCAGTTTGAGGAATAACTTGTTTCCCTGGTGATGACCAGAATACTGCACAGCTAGCAATTAACACTTGTATAGCAGCAGAACTGTACAAGAAGGAGGAAAGTAGGTTATTCTGTGATCTCATTCCACCAAGAATTGAAATAGAGCGCTCATAGACGCATACATGTTACAGAAAAAAGAAAGCTCAGTGAGGAGACAGCTGAGACCTTGATTTGCTTCATTGTTGAGCTCTGGATGTTGTTGGTCACTATAGTGCATGGTGGTAATAGCAGAGATTTAAAAGCAAAATAACAAAAAAGTAATCATCACTTAACCCTAGGTACCTCTTTAATCCGAAACTCCCTTTTTGCCGTTCTGGTCTTCCCAACTATATAAATAAAAATGTAATGTTCGTTTGTGGGAATAACAGAAATGAAAAACCATTGGACGAATTGACACCAAACTGGGACATAAGACACCTAACAACCCAATGTATGTCCTTCATTCAAAAAATTGATTTTGTTATTTGAGAGTTGTAGTTGCTGGGATTTATAGTTCACCTATAAATCAAAGAGCATTCTGCACCCCACCAACGATGGAATTGAACCAAACTTGGCACACAGTTCTCACATGACCAACAGAAAATACTGGAAGGGTTTGGTGGGCAGTGTCCTTTGGTTTTGGAGTTGTAGTTCACCTACATCCAGAGATCACTGTGGACTCAAACCATGATGGATCTGGACCAAACTCTACACGAATACTCAGTATGCCCAAATGTGAACACTGGTGGAGTTTGGGGAAAATAGAATCTTGACATTTGGGAGTTGTAGTTGCTGGGATTTATAGGTCACCTACAATCACAGAGCATTCTGAACCCCACCAATGGTAGAATTGGGCCAAGCCTCCCACACAGAACCCCCATGTGGGCCACAGCAAGGCATGGCAGGGGACGGCTAGTATCCAAATAAAGTGAACAAGCAGAATAGGTAAGTAATCTATTCTGGGAAACAAATCCCATTAAATTCAAAAGAATGTATGTTTGAGTAAGTATCTGTAGGAGAGCAGTTACTGGCTAAATTTGAGGCATGTCTGCTAGCTCTTGAAAGAGTGAGAGCATTTTTTTTCTGCAGAGTGTCAGGATTATGATCCATGCCTGTGTGCACATATACACACTGCTTAGAAGTGAATGAACCCATAGAAAAGGTCAGGAAGCTGTGATCCATTCTTTAAGAAAATACTTTCTTAAAAATGTTCAAGCAGATTCTTTTTCTCTTTAGCAGATGACACCAAGCCCCCACTTCCCCCCACCCTGGAGCCCACAGGACCTGCACCCTCCCTATCGGAGCTGGACTCTCTGCAGGACCCTCCAACTCTCAAACCCATTAGCGAAAGCAAGTCCTCGAAAAGACTCCGTAAACGCCTGAGGTCCGAGGGCGAGCTCTTTGATAAGAAGATGCTGCAGAGGGAGAGCCACGCCTTCCAGCGCTTGCTCAGCGACAGCGGCCTGAACGGATTGGCCCTTCAGGCCACGGGCACTTCTGCCAGCCCCCCGTTTAGTGGTGTGGGGAGGCGGACGTCTGTCCTTTTTAGAAAAGCCAAGAACGGGGTGAAACTGCAAAGAGGTCTGGACTGCCCCCTTGAGAATGGAGAGGACCACAGCCAGAGTGGGCAGCTCTCTCCCTCCAGCAGAGAGGGCAAGCGGTCATCCCGGAAACGGCCACAGAGTGGGAGCTGCAGCGAGAGCGATGGCGAGAAATCCCCCAGGCAGGCAGGCGTGACAGGTGACTCCCCTGAGATTTCATTCCTCCAATGTCTTAGAAAGTCAGAGATCCCCAGGATAGGAGTGTTTTATAGTCACGTTGCTTGCCTACTGGCAAGAAGGGTTCTCCACAGTTGCACAGCATCACCCAGTCCCCCAAAATCTTTTGGTAATTGATTCCTATCTAGTGACGCTGACACAAAAATCCCAATACCAGCAAATACTTTTAATTTTCTGATGGATGAGGAGAAGCTATGGGTCCTAAAGGAGAAGATGATCTTGTATTATGTGAGGAGATCACATTTACTGGTCTTTATATCTGGGGATTTTCTTCCTTGACTCAGCTAGTTTGCTTTGGGGTGTGTGTGTGTAAATCTGTGAGCTTGAAATATACAAGGAATATATCTTTTTCCCTTACCTAGTATATGCTACACCTTTTTCAGCTTTCAGTTGAATTTCCCTTAGCTGAACTGAAAAAGCCTCTACAGAAATAGACCATATGTTTTCTCACTAAACTAGAAAACAGGGCTGAAATTAACAAAATACAACAGAAACAAATGCAAAATTCTACTTTTAAGCTACAAAAAACAAATGCACAGATATAGAATAGGATATACTTGGCTCAGCAGTGCTACGTGTGAAAAGGACATTAGGATTGTAAAAGGTAAAGGTTTCCTCTTGATATTAAGTCTATTCATGTCCTACTCTGGAGGGTGGTTCTCATCTCCATTTCTAAGCTGAAGAGCTGGCGTTGTCTGTAGACGCCTCCTAGGTCATGTGGCTGGCATGACTGCATGGAGCACCATTACCTTCCCACAGAAGGTACTTGAGATTGGCAGAAGCTGGGGCTAACAGCAGGAGCTCCCCCTGCTCCCCTGGATTCGAACCACTGACGTTTCAGTCAGCAAATTAGGCAGCTCAGTGGTTTAACCCACCGGTTTAACCCACTGGCTCAATTTTCATTGATCGAAAATTGAGCCAGCTGTATGGTGTTGCAGAAAATAAGGCAATTGCTTAGCCTGCATCCCTAAAAGCATAGTTTCCAAGCTGAGGAAGGTAGTAGTCTCCCTATATTCTGTGCTAGTCTGGTCCCAAGTACTATATAGGCAGTTCCCGAGTCACAAATATAGTTAAGAACAAGAGTGAGACAATAGGAAGTGAGAGAAATTTATCCCTTGGAAGGGAAATCCACTCTTGAAAGAGTAATCATGAGGAAAAGGTATCTCCACTGATGCTTTATCACCAATCCTTGTTTCCACAACCAGCCAAGGTTTTCAAAATCCAATTATCACAGGGACAAAAAGTGAGGCGCAATCTTCTGAACAGACAGCAAAGCAAATATCACAGGAGTGTTAACCCTTCCCCATGCTATCCAAAGCATGCATACATGCATGCATATCTATCTATCTATCTATCTGGCTGGAATTAACACTTACAAAATGTACCTATTCCAACTTAAAAAAATAATAATCTTAAGAACAAACATACAGACTCTATCTTGTTCAATCTTGTGGATTGCCTGTATTCAGTTCCGGATGCCTCATTTGAAGAAAGTTGTAGACAAGTTGGAGTAAGTTCAGAGAAGGTCAACAAGGATGGTATGGAGAACAAAATATATTATGAGAGATTGGGTAGAGCTTGGTGATTGCAGCAGGATCACACTTTAAATCCCTGAAGGTTGCCATAAAGAGGAAGGTGCAGGCTTGTTCTCTGTGGCCTCACAATGAGGCCTAATCGTTTTTAAGTTTTTTAAGAGTAGATTTTGAATGAGCATTAGAAAGATCTTTTTGACTGTGGGAGCACTTTGGCAATAGAAACAATTGCCTAGAGAGATAATGTGGTCTCATTTTGATTGGACTGCTACCTGCTGGGGATGCTCTAGCTGGGGATCCTGCATTGAGAAGGGACTTGAACATGATGACCCAGAGGACCGCTTCCAACTGTGTGAACCTATAACAAATTCTGGATCTATGAGCTGGTAGTCCAGTATCATTTGGAAGGCATCAGGTTCTGGAACGCTAATGTGGGAAATGAGTGCATGCTTCATATGACCATGTATTTATATCTAAATGGCAGAAAGTGAATTACTATACAATGTTTTAAAATCAAAAGCATTAAAATCTAAAAGAATACCAAGATACAGATTCTGTTGAAAAACTCCCAAAGGACTTTGGGACTTCCAGAAGAAACTCAACTCAGTGGGAGAGAATTCCACAGAGGGTTATCACTGATAATACTTCTGCTGTAGGATATAGACTGCAGTAGAAATGGGTGCATTCCTTAGTTTCTTATGCCAATTATAATGAGATGTGAGGAAGTCTCATTTTCTAGAGCATTCTATGCCAAATGTACCACTGTTGAGTGCATCTGAATTCCACAGGGAGCCAATACACAGCCTGAAATATGAATGTAATATATTTCCAGTTACCAAATTGTATAGCAATTTAAAAGTCAAAGTTTGCACTGATAATAGCTAGTTTCTCAGTTGGCTAAAGTTTAAGTTAGAAGTTTAATATCATCTAGGGAGACCCTGCTCTTGGTTCCGCCTTCTTCGCAGGTGCGACTGGCAGGAACGAGAGACAGGGCCTTCCCAGTGGTGGCCCCTCGGCTGTGGAACTCCTGCCTTAGGGATATTAGATCAGCCCCTTCCCTCCTGACCTTCTGCAGAAAAGTGAAAACATGGCTTTTTGAATAAGCTTTTGGGAACTTAGTACAATAGATAAACATGGAACTATGTGAAATCAAATACTGGAACAGCTTAGAAAATGTTTTTGGACGACGAGGCTAATAGTGAAGGTAGTGGTTTTATATGTTTTTAAAGGTTTTAATATGTGTTTTACAATTTTGTTTTAAATGTTTATTGTAATTTTACATTGTTTAATGGCACTGAATAGCTGCCTATGTTGTAAAGCTGCCTTGAGTCACCTTCGGGTTCGAGAAAGGCGCAAAGAAATAAATAAATAATAAATAAAGTGTCTTTAAGGTTAGCTGTGGAAGTGAGTTGTCTTCCCGCAGTCTACCTTATTATGAGTGGTGGATAAGTTTCATTGGTGTGATATTTGTTGTAACGATGATAACCAATTCTATTTTGAGCTAGGGCTGTATCCTAGGCTTGTAATACTAGTTCAGTATTACAAGAAGCACCATTCATTCAGTGTTTCCCATATGAAACACTCCTTTGACATCCTAGTGGACTGGATATAGATAAAAAGAAAATGATGGCTTTAAGACAGAGGAAGTACTCTAGGTTTCCAATATTTTGCTAAGTGGATTAGCTCTTTCCTCTAGTTTCTGTCTTGCTATGTTTTTGTTCCTGCTATTACTAAGTCTTCTTAGAAAACCATGTAGTGTGTTTCATAAAATTTTCTGTCTTCTTTGCATTAGAATTAAACATTGCTCAGGAAAATCAATGAACATTTAATTGGCAGTATTAGCTGAAATTAGTTTAGAGGAAGTACATTTATAACATGTTGAATCAGACCAGAAATCTGTCTAGTCTACTATTTTATTCCTTCAGTACCCAGCTAGATGTGTCTGGAAAGCCAACAAACAGGACAACTGCATATTGCTGTTTCTATTCAGCCAAAGCTGTTGTTTAAAGCTATATATAAAAACTGATGTGTGTGATAACATATAGATATCATATCCTGAATTTATTTAACCCCCCTCTAAAGTTGTCCAGTTTGCAGTCTTATCTGTTCTGTTCATTGTGTTTCACTATGTGTGTCCTATATAAATTAATCTTTCAGCTTTGTTGGATAAGCTCAGGTTCTAGTATTACTTGAAAAACGCTCCCAAAATCCATTTTCTTTACATTATACATAATTTTGTAAATTTCTTGTGCCCATTTTCCTTGCATGTGCCTTCAGTGTAAGGTAAAAAGCCACAAACATTGTAAACTCTTCTTTCTGGGTAGTGGCTGCAGTCCTCTCATAGATTTCACATGTTTTTTGGCTCTCTGCAATATCTTTTTTTTTTTTTTTTGAGATCTGGAGACTGGAACTGTACAAGTATTGCTGCACCATAGCTTTGTATAAAGACATACTGATGCTTGCATGAGATTTGCCTTTTTCATAGGTGCTACACTGAATTAAAATTTTAACAGAGCTGTCTGCTGAGAATCCTGGTCAGTGAACCAGCTCAGGATCCATCAAAATATATAAGAATTAGTGGATCTCATCACACATATTTAGGTTAATCTCAATTTGGTATTACATTACAGCTTCTTCCAGTTTGAAAATGCACATTTTTAGCATCCCACATTCTGTTTTTGTTTTTACAACCTGGAATAATTTGGTGTTACCTTCAAGCTATGCCACCCTACTCTACACCCTTAAGTCATTTATGCACATTTTAACATTCTTCCATTGTATCTTTTCCCCGCTTAATAATTTCTTCATTGGTTGTGAGAAAACATAATTATCATAACCAGATTTTGGAAATTCAGTCAGAAATAAATGTGTATGTGTTTCATGTTTTAACATTTCTCTTTTTCCCTTGTTGTCCTGTCTCATTCTGATATGTACTGTACATGGGTGGCTTTTTTGTTTGTTTATTTTTAAACAAAGTATTATCACATATGTATTGTTGGTCTTGTGGTTTCCCATGCCCCCTCCTTCAATTTAGAGGGCCCATTTTTCCCACTACACAGAAGCTTTGTCCCCATATGTCTCCTAGAATGCTTACCAAGGAGTGTTATTGGCCAATTTATTGTGTTTTTTGCTTTTGGGAGGATGCTCCTTTTTATAAGCCTGGATAGGCCTTTTCCCCCCAAAGAGGTATAAAAACTCGTTATTTATTTCTAGTTTGAAAAAATTATCTTCTTATGCTAAAACAGTGAGTTGCCCCAAAGAAAATGCCCCACAGCATCCATTTGGAGATTTCAGGAACCCTGTTAATTGTTTATGGGGAGAGCTACTTTTTCAGTACTCCCCCACCCCATTTTTTTTCAGAATGGGCAAGGTAGGAAAATGAAGATGGAGCCTTCTAGGGTCCCCATGTGGCTCCCAAATCCTGCTTTACAGATTCAGTGCAAACATACTATAGGTGAGACTAAAGCCCAACATGATCAGTGTTTTAACGAAATTGAACTGGATCACCTTTGTTAACCGCAGTGCACAATTGTGGTATTATGTCTGTTTTCCTTCATAAATGTGTTTTTTTAAAAAGAACATTTTAAGCAGCTATATTATTTTCATTTGCTTTATTCTCAGGAGCAGTGACCAATGGCTTCAGAAAGCATAGAGAAAGTGGTTCTGACTCAGAATGCAGTTCTGGCCACGGAGGTGGTCTTCCATTTGGCATTTGTAGGTAAGCACTTTTGGCAAGTTTTTATTCTTGTTCCAAGTTTTATCATACACTGTCACCAACAAAACAATAAAGAATGAGTCAACTCAAAACTTGGCTAGAAGTAGAATCACCAATTCGATACTCTACTCTTTGGAACAAAACAGAGGGTGGGGAACCCTTAGATTACAGAGTTATTTTGACACCTGCCAGTTATTGAAAGTACTTGAATTAGATCTTGAAGAGTCTAAAAGATGGGCCAGAATTGAGAAAACAATAAATGGATGAGATCATTGCTTGTGTTTAAAGACAGAGTGGATAATAAATTATTAAAGAAAATTAAGGGGGTTCAAGGATCTCATCACTGGAATGTTGGAAAAAATGACAAATTAAATCCCCCAAAATGGCATAGACATACTTCCATTAGGTATACTAGATAACAAAAATGAACAGATATATGGCAGTGATAAAAAATTTGAAACAATTTGCAATAAGGATGATTGAAGACCTCCTGAATTCAGATGGGACAATTAAAGATTTGGAGGTGTTAAAAGAAAAATGTGGACAAAGTAACTGGGGGGGGGGGTGAGAAGGAGGAGGGTGTAAAACAGATTGATATAAGTAGTACAAATGTATGGAAATTGAAAGGTCAAGAGAATAGGATACACCAAAACAAAAGAGAATTTAATGGAAATTTGTTGTCTGTTTATTTCTTCTGACTTTTCAGTGACGTGGTTATGAACTGAGATATCCTCCAAACATATTCAATAAAATGTTTAGAGTTCATGTATATGTGTTTCAGTAGTATGAATTAATTTGGACTTTTCTTGACATTAGCAACAATTCACTGAGTATGCTGAAAACTGCATATCTTGTGTCATGCATTGCCATATTTTACATTCTGGATTATATTTAGTATACTTGTAATTACGACTGGTACCTGCATTGTATTCTCATCCTGTGGCATAATTGCTCTATTCATGCAACCCACTTTCTGATCTAAAGACAGATATATGTCTGGCTATAGAATCAGAGGTTTGACTATATAGCCACTCCTGATCCTATTACCATTACCCTCCATCCCATTCTTAATCTAAACACAGTATTACAATTAATCTATGTAACCCAAGCACTGCCAGATTCATTTTACCATCAATCATTACAATCATTGTTCACGATTAAACACTATTTCTTTCGCAAAGTTAGCTCACTTCTAACCTCATTCCATCCTTCATATAGAGTAATCAACAATCCAATTTGTAAAAGCACCCGATCATTGTCTTAATTTAAAAACCCATGTCTGGCAAACTGTGTTTATTTCTACAGCATGTATCTGTTTCCAGCTTCAATTGCTACTCTTGTATCAACATCTTGCAATGTTGTTCCCCAAAAGCAGCATGCTGAACAGAGGAATTAGCAGACAGTGACTACACTCAAACCTTTCCTGTGTGTCATAACTTCCCTTTATGACACATCTTGCATTTAGATAAAACATTGCTGTTTATCGCCCAACTTTCTCTTCATGTGCTTTTTTCACAGTGGTCTGACTCCACATAAACGCAGTCGAGGAAAGCCTGCCCTGACACGGGTTCCTTTTTTGGAAGGTGTAAATGGAGATTCAGAGTATAACAACTCAGGTGAGAAAAGATATGAGTGGCACCGGGGTTAACACTTACGGTAGTAGTTCACAGAAGGAGGCATGGCAAACTCCTTCTGAATATTCTACCATTAAAATCCTATGATTGGACAATCCAAAATGAAACAAGAGATAGTGCCAGAAGAGGAGACTCTCAGATCAGATGATGCTCAACGAGATACTGAAGTACAGCAGAGGACAGCTATGAGTAGTCCTGTGGCTAATGATACAGCTGGACTCAAGCCAAAAGGATGTTCAACTGTTGACATGCTCAGAGGCAGAAGGAAAGTCTGAAGCTGCACATACATATTATGGGAAAGTGGAATGTGAGAAGCGATGAATCAGGGGAAGCCGGATATAGTTTTAAAACACCATATCTATTAAAGAACATAACCTTTTAGAGAAGAGCCAAAAAAACCTTTTAAAGCAGAATCTCCTCTTGTAGTATACAACTAAATATAATTATGCTAGGCAATGTTTCCAGTTGTTAGACTGAATAACCAGCAATCTCCGATCTGTCAGGAAAATAGAGATTTGCCAGTGCATAAAACAGAAGAGCTTTAGAAGTGAGGTTTTTAAGCCCCCCCCCCAATACTCTCCAATAAAACCACTTGTTTCATATCATGCACTCAAGAGACAAAAATGAAGTTCTTCTCCCCTTGAGTGACTTTTGTGTTAGGAGGAGAATAATTTCTATAATAAGCAATGCAGAGAAGAACAAGAGACTTCCACAAGATCTGAGAAATCAAAGCAAAATTTAAACCATAAGTGGGGAGCATATTACATAACCAAGTAGAAATACAAAGAGTCAATAGAAATAATACACAGAAGAGCCATATAAAAGTAATAAAAAGACAACTGATTCATTTAAGAAAGAACCATTTGAAGATGAACCTACAATTTGAGAAAGGTAAATTGAAGCTGCACTTGGAGCACTTGGGAGAAGAAAATCACCAGGAATAGTTGGCTTATCAACAGAGTTCTTTCAAGTTACAGATTGTGGATTTCCTTGAATTTCTCCCCATTCTCCTCACTCTTGAACTAAAGATACACTGGATATGGTGGCCATCCTGCTGATATAGCAGCGTTTCTTCAGGTTCATATTCAGTAACTTATATTTTTTCAGTCTGCTGTTTTGTTTCAAGAATAGAAGTATAACTTCACATGACAGAATGTAATTCTGACTCAATCCTTTTTATGATTTCTCAGGTAGAAATTTACTAATGCCATTTGAGGAGCACACTGAATTAGAAGCTCTGGAGCTTGTGTGGGCAAAGTGTCGTGGCTACCCTTCATACCCAGCCTTGGTATGTATACCTACTTCACTAGCTATCTTCTTTCCACAGAGGACATTTTGACTGCCTGGTATCCAGTGCTAAGCTTGCACTGCAATTAATTGGGGAAATAATACATTCTTGCAGAAGTTAGGATGTTTTCATTAAGACTGTTAATATCTGTAGTGACAATTCATATATGGATCCTTCAAAATGAACTGGATGGTCCTTGTGGTCCCTTCCAATTCTATAATTCTATGAAATATGTATTTATTTATTTGCTATATTTCTATAGTTAATTATCTTGATGTCCTGGCAATGATGCACTTATTTTAAAGTTTTAAATTTCTTGAACCTTAGATCTGATGTGTTTGTGCGGCACTGTATCCCTCTTCTCTCGAGCTGTGTCCCTCTTCTCTTGAGATGCCACATTATGCATAAAAGAAAAAAGCAAATACATTGCATAGTTAACTAAAAATCAATAACATATAAATACAAATAAAAAACATATTAAGCATATTAAAATAACATAAAATATATTGCGCAGTTGCACCAATCCCATTGTCATTGTTTGGCTGCTTCATTTGTATCTGTATCATAATAAAATATTATGCTACAATAATATGAAATATTGCACATTTTAAATGTACTTCTAGGACCAGATATGCTTTAGTTTTAGGATCAGTTTTAGTGTTTAAGAGCAAATTAATATGACCTTAATTTTCCTCCTTATTTAAAAAAACTGTAGACCTGGCCTGTAGGTTTCTCCAGGTTGTCATCAGAAATATAGTGGTGTTTGTTCTGACCCAAACTTGGATGGCTTAAATAATTAAAAGGTCTCTGGAGAGATCATTTGACTTGTGGTTCCTGTGATCCCAATTTATATAGCCTTTCATTGTACTGAGATAGCTAACTTACTGTGCAATCCTATATAACTACCCAGAAATAAGTCTTGGTGTGTTTTTAGATCATTAAGTGCACTGATTTCCGGTAGTAGCCTTATGAAATTACTGTATCATCCTGTAATTTTTGGAGTTTGATTCTTCACATTGCAGAAGAGAAATAACTGCCTTTTTATTCCTTTGCCTACAGTTTTAAACAACAAATCCCATTAAGAGAAAGTAAAACAGGGTTGCAAGAATTCCGTTTTTAATACCACTACATTAGTACTATAGGAAGTTCTGTATACTTCCATTTTAAACATTCAGTTAAGTGTACAAGTCCTCAGTTTCATCAAGCTTTTTCTTCAAGCTTTTTCTGTCATAACTATTCCTTAGTGAGAAATGGCATAAATATATATCCTGAGATATAGAACTGTATGTGTGTTGCCATATGGCTTACACATTTATTCTTAAACATGCTTGAAGCTTAAACATGCTTGAAGCTGGACAGAAAAAAAGAGATTAAAGCAAATGCAAGACAGGTATGGAGGGGAGCTTCAAGCTGATTTTTTAAAAAATAGCAATATGTTGTTTATATAAATTGCCCAACATATTTCAGTAATGGTCTGTCATGGATCACTGTAAAGGCTTAGCATATAAACCCCATTACAGTAGGTCCTCAGTAATGGATTTTACTTTGGCTGGAGTGAGGTCTCAGTGCAGAGTTCCATAGAAGTCTTTTTTAGTCCCTGTGCTATTCAACATCTTTATAAATGACTTAGATGAATAGAAAGATGACATGCTTTTCAAGTTCACAGATTACACAATGGAAAAATATCTGCCACCCTAGAAGACAGAATTACGATTCAAAGTAATCTTGACAGACTGGAATACGTGGCCTAAATCAACCAGATTAAATACAGCAAAGATAAATGCTAACTCTTCCATTTCTGAATGAAGAATATATGCCACATGCATAGGCTAGGGCAAGCTCAGTCTGACATTAAGTGCACATGAAAAGAGGCAAAGTATCTTAGCTGATGATAAGATGAACATGATTCATTGTGACATAGTTGATAAAAGACTACTGCAGACTTAGGCTGTATTAACAAAGATAAGATGTTCATCTAAAGATCTAGTGCTGGTCATATAAAGAAGAATATTTAATTCTGATTTGTATATTTGTATATTTTAAATTCTATACTAATTTTTTAAAATGTTAAGCTGCTTTGAGTCCTCTTCATTTATGGATAAACAAGGAAAAGTCCAGAGGATGGTGACACAAATAGTGAGAGCTGTAGAAACAAAGTTCTGTGAGGAAGACTACAAGATGATGAATATATTGAGTTTAGAGAAGAGATTAATGGGATGCTTGACAGCAGTCTTTGAATATGTAGCAGACTTGCTTGTTGCTCCACCAGTAAGGATTAGGACCATGGGTAGGAATTGCAAAAAAGTAGATATTTGCTAAACAGTTATCAAAATGATATGAGCTATCTGGCAGTAGGACAGACTGCCTCAAGTAGTAGCAAGCTCTTCTTCATTGAAATATTTGAGTAAAGGCTAGACAGCCAACAGCAGAAACACATTAACTAAAACCTGCATTGAAGAACCCAAATTGGGAAGGGATGGGACTACATTATCTCTCTTGTGATTCTAAAATAGATATTTAAATAAATGCAAAATATTCAGAAAAAGAAAAACAATCCTCTGTTGAGAGGATGGACATGAATTGATGTTACTTGAAGAACTCCAGACTACTGACTCTAGAGGGCTGCAGAGACCACACAGTCCCATTTTTTATTTGCTTCAAGTTACTTTCTTGAGAAAAATGTTAACTTAAGGTCCTCGCCTCCTACAAACTATAGTCCTGTGGCTTCTTCTTCTTCTTAAATCATCATCATCTTTATCTTTATTTATATCCCGCCTTTTTCCCCATGGGGACTCAAGGTATCTAACATCTGTCCACACTAAACAGTTTTGAAAGAGCAATACAAAAGTTAAAAACAATTAAATAATTACAGTGCGGTAAAAACAGAATTAAAATACAGTAAATACATTTATTTATTTATTTATTTATTTATTTATTTATTTATTTATTTATTTATTTTGGAATCATTTTTTAATTGTGCAGAGCAAGAAGGCTGCTTGACAGCCAAATACTTTGGATTCGGGGTAACGTAATGAGTCTTCCAATATAAACCAATTCAGTCTTTAAGATATTTGCATAATGTCCTACTTTCAGTACCTTCATTTTTTTAGGTACAGTTGTCCCTTGGTTATCTGCAGGGGTTTGGTTTCGGGACCTCCTTTGGATAACAAAATCTGTGAGTGCTGAGGTCCCATTATATAAGATGTCAGATATATATGGATGATGATAATGATGATGATGGTGATGATGGTGATTTGGAATATTTTCAAGCTGTTTATGCTTGTATCCCTGGATATTGTAGGCAAACCGTATAGCCATGGTAAATTGTGTGGAATGGGGACTTTTCTTCACTTGGTACAGGCTCAAACTTAAATGCATTCAACCCTCCACTGTTGGTCTTTAGACAAAAAAAGTATCTGGTTTATTTCAGAAGGCATATTTAACCCATTGGTCTTTTATACTAAGGATTATCTAGTGCTGGTCATGTTTTTTCTTTGTCATTTGACATTAACAGACGATATTCTGTTAATGGAAGCTTCTTATGCTTTATGCATGATCAAGTGTGTTGGCACAAAATATTTAATGAAACAAACAAAACAGAATATGCTGATATCAATATTCAGCAACTAACATATGTCTGGACCATATGTTTATTTATATCTGTTTTAAAATGTGGGACTATTGACACTGATAAAACTACGGTAAAACAACTTAAGAAAAAATATGTCACCTCAGCACTAGTAACATTAATTCATCTTACTCCAGAAGAAATAGACATCTTCAGTATGTGGTGGTGGTGGTCATGGCCATCAAGTTGACTTCATGAATAGCCATGATGAAGTCTTGCGTTCTCTAGACAGTGGTTCTTTTATCAAATCAATCCATTTGTAATGTAATCTTCCTCTTTTCCTCCTATATTTCCACCTAACCAAACATTATAATATTTTCTAATTATTTCAAAATGTCTTACGAATCCAAGAGATCAAAGTATGAGAGCCATCGTTTATTCATTTTGGCTTCTAATGAGAATTCAAGATTGATTTGCTTTAAGATACATTTATTTCTCTTTTTGTTATTCCATGTTATTCCATGTTATCTGTAGGCCTTTCCTCCAGTGCCTCATGTCAAATGAGTTGGGGTTTTTTTTCTGTCATGTTTCTTCGCTGTCCAGTTTTCACAGCTATACATAAAAATCAGAAATACTCTGGAATAGATGATCCTGGCTTTGGCATTTAGTGATATGCCTTTGCATTTTAGCTTGAAATCCAGTTCCTTCATAGCTGCCCTTCCAAGTATTAGGGTACATCTACACTGTAGAATTAATGTAGTTTGACCCCACTTTTAATTACTATGGCTCAATGCTGTGGAATCAAGGGAGTTGTAATGTTTTCTGTCTCACCAAGCTATAGATCCCATGATGCCATAGCATTGAGCCATGTCAGTTAAAGTGATGTCAACATGCATTAATTCTACAGTGTAGATGCACCCATAGTCTTTATCTGATTTCTTCAGTACAATCTCCATTTTGATTGATGGATTTAAACATTAAATATAAGTATTGTTAAATAATTTAAAAGATGTTTGTTGTCCAATACTGTCCCCATCTATTTGGAAGTTAAATCCATTGTGTTTAATTGGAAAGACTTATAGATAAACAGATATACCTGACTTCTTCCAAAAGTGTTGATCCATAATGGATTATAACCAAAATATGATTATTGTTGCAAGCTGTCAACAGGCATAACTAATTCAAATTGACCAAACAGAGATCAGATTTCAAGGTAGCTTAGTGTACAACTCTGCATAGTTTGATAGTCATAAAAATATAAATATGTAGCAAGTGGTCACAGCATATTGAAAAATGCCATAACCAAAGTTAACAAATGCATGCAGCTATCATTAAAGGCATTATGCATACTAAAAATATGCATACATGGGGAAATAAATACATGTAAACGCTAATACATGATAACTAAATAGACATAACCCTGTTTAACCCTGTTATCTTATTTATCTTTATCACTCTCCATACTACATCTAGCTTAAAAGCTCACACAGTTGTGAAATATGTTTATCTACCTGCATTTAAAATGAAAAACTCTCATTCTATAACAGGCATGGGCAAAGTTTGGCCCTCCAGGTGTTTTGGACTTCAACTCCCACAATTCCTAGCAGCCTACCGGCTGTTAGGAATTGAAGGAGTTGAAGTCCAAAACACCTGGAGGGCCAAACTTTGCCCATGCCTGTTCTATTAACATATATTATATGTGTGTCCTGCCTTTTTTGAGTGTCCTCAGTAAAAAGGACTGGGCTGAATTTCTGTGATGAGTCTCTTTTTGTGCCTTGAATCTTTTTTTGGGCTTTGTTTTAGATCATTGACCCTGAGATGCCACGAGAGGGCCTCCTTCACAACGGAGTCCCGATCCCTGTCCCTCCGATGGACGTGTTGAAGTTAGGAGAGCAGAGACAAACAGAGGCAGGAGAAAAGCTTTTCCTTGTCCTTTTCTTTGACAACAAGAGGACATGGTGAGTAAAAATACATAAACAGAAGGGAAGAAAATTATTTTGACAGCAGATTATGGGAGACTTACTCTGATGAATTTACAACTCAAAGTTTAATCGCCAGAAGGTATTGGGAGGAGTCAAATCACATGCCTGCCTGCCGGCTTTATAGTTCTTCTTTTCTTAGATGTTTATTTTCTTGTGTCAGAATCAAGCATAATCATCACATAAATTAGATTTTTTTGTACAACAGGTAATGTTTTACCACATCTTGTTAATTCTTCTAGAGTTTCCCCCCTAATTAAAGTGAACATTTGTCAAAACATTATAACTGGGCAAATATGTGTTGTTGGAGACAAAATGTAATGCTCAAAGGTATTAGCAATATATTTCTTTATATCTTCTTATTTTTTTTAAAATGTGTTCTTTAATTGCAGGCAGTGGCTTCCACGGGAAAAAGTTACTCCACTTGGAGTAGATGACACAGTGGATAAGCTAAAGATGTTGGAAGGACGAAAAACCAGCATTCGTAAATCTGTCCAAGTCGCTTACGACCGGGCCATGATCCATATGAGTCGAGTTCGGGGAGACCATCCCTTTGTTACACCAAATTATCTGTAGGGACTGAATGGGTCTGCTCTGCCCTTCCTACTTACCCTGGAAATAATGCCTGTAATTGTAAAGGCATAGAGGGTTTCCGCTGAATCATAGGGGATTCTGCCCTGCTTGGAGGAAGGTGTGATTGCAATGCTTGTTCATGTCCTGTAAGAAAGATGCACTATTCCTAGCATAGAGAAAAGCTCCGGATATGAATATGATATGTGCCAAAAAGCCTGGCTGGGTTCTTTCTGAGTATGTTTCTCCTGAAAGCCAGCATTAGAAGGAAGTCTTGTTATGGTCGGACTAGTACTAGTAAGAGGGTGTCACAAGCAGCTGTAATGTTAATGCGATGGGAAGAATTTTAGGTCTGATCAGCTAAGCTCATTTGCTGATTGGACTAGAAGACCCACAAGTCTCTTTGTGTTTCCAGTGTTCCGCTTGCCCTGAAGAATTCTTTGGAGCTTGCCACTAATATAAATAACATGGCCTCCTTTCAATGACACTTGTGTGCCAATTTTTAAGTAATATTTGTCACACTTTTTGTCTTATTTTTGAAAGTGCTGGTTTGTCCCACCGTATTTTTACATTTGCACCCTAGTCTAGAAATCTCACGCCTATGTATTATTTTTTTTTGTGTTAAGATTTAGCACCAAAAGAAGATGAAGGTCATATTGAGTTTTACCCTTCACCTCATGCACACTTACATGTACAGAGTTTTTATATATGAAGAAGCAAACACTTGCACAATCTTCTGTCTAAATCTGTTTGTGAAGTAGCTTTTAGATTTCAACTGCAGATTTGGGCTGAGTTTTTTTTTTAAATGAATGGTTTGATACCACCTCACCAGCCTGAAACACTGTTGTTAAGAGTCTAAGGATTGTTAGGAGATGAAGAGGGAGAAATCAATCTTTTGGGAGCATTTGTGCCCACCACCTCAAACAAGGGATGTTTGTACAGAGGATGAGCTGACTCTTTACATAAATCTGCATGATTATTGGATGTAGAAGCAACCACTAGCCTGCCTATGCAGAAAGAGGCAAGCCAAATGTGGAAAGATCTTCCCATATGCAATCTGCCCTTGTAGTTGGACTGAAGTCATCTAATTGTATGTGCAGAGCTTTCCCAAGCATGAAATGTGCTGTATATGTTTGCAAAGAGTGCCATATGTGTTTTGAAGAATGAGAGCATCTGTGTCGAGGTGTAATTCACCATTATTGCTCCATCACATTTTGGGTTGCATTGGAACACTGTCTTACTTTTTTTTCCCCACCAGCATATACTGGAGTTTTGTCATTTGCATTTCCATACAAGTGTCATCATTTGCTTTCTGCTGTGTGAGCCTCCAAGACTAGAATCTGTTTAAAAATAAGACATAACTCCTTAATGAATCCAATTTTTTAAGCACGTGATGGAAAAACGGGGAGAGCTGAAGTTTGCAAGTTGAAAGACATTTCATATTTGAATTTTGAATCATGTATCTTTTTTTCCTTTTTTTTCCTTTTAAGCTTTAAAAACCAAAGGTGCAGAGCAAGATTGTAATGTGAAGAGATCGTTACTTTTTTTCTTTTCAATTCATTTTTAATTATTTTATTTTTTCATACTAAAGAGATTGTGGAACAAAATGTTTATATTGGGGAAAATCACTGCCATTTCTATGTGGTATCCTTTTTTTATTTTTTTTTAAAAAGGACCACATCTTATATATTGGGGTATATCGGGATATAAAACCACACTTTATACGAAATATCTGTAACATGAAGAGCATGAATGGGAATCTTTATAAAGAGTGTGGCTATGGAAGGAACTTGTGTACATACTTGTAAAATACTGTTCTAAATTATTTAGGCCAATTGTTACCATTCTTGGAAGCCCTCAGTTGTGTTGCTGGGTCTTTTGTATGCACACAGTGTAATTAATTTAAAGCAACATACACTTTTCCCAAGTTGTAGCTCAGCTGTGGACTTGTGACCTATGTATAACTGTTTTAAGAACGTCCATTTTACTTGTGTTCATTTTTTTAAAAAATTACATTTTAGAGATTTAAATTGGCTAAAATCCTGCTGTTGCTATGGGACCTAAATGTGACTTGTCAGTCTGCTGTAAAGCACAGATGGCTCTATTTATTGTAGAAAGTGAGTTTCTTTGCTTTCTAGACTTGTTTATATCAGAAGGTATAAGAGGTAATAAAATTCTATGCTTGTAAAGAAAAAAATGCTAATTTTAGCTACTATAATCTGACTGTCTGAAACTATATTTTCTCTCTGAGAAATAAATGTTCTAATGTAAAATGTCTGGTTTTTTATTTGTCTTTATTTGGGGAGATTCTTTATTTCTTTGTTCAGTATCTAGATCCTGCTATGAGAATTTATCCATTTTCATAAGTCTCAAAATGTTGACTATTTCCCTGGAATCAGTATCTCTTGGTCTCTCTCTCTTTTAAATCTGACTTAGCAGAATTCAGAAGATTGATAGATATAAGTAGATGGGATTTTCCAGAATTAATGAGGAAAAATTAGAAGTTTGTACCACTGAAGACATAAGACTAAAAAGCTTAAATGGTGAAACTTTGATCTGTTCCTGACAGGGAATCAAAGGATAGGATGAAAATTAGCATGGAATTCCAGATGCACTTCGACAAATGGGAAAACACTTGCATAACTTTACAAGTATATTTGTCGGAACCCAGACACCTTAAAGGGCCAGACTCAGGAGTATGTCCAAAAGAATAGTTTATTAATACAAAGCAAAAGAGACTCAGAGATACTTACTTTACCTTTACTACCAGTTGCAGTGTTGCCAACAGACTCTATTTATTTATTTATTTATTTACTTTGCTTATATGCCGCTGTATCTCAAGCCCGAAGGCGACTCACAGCGGTTCACAAACAGTAAAAACAGTAGAAACAGCAGTGGTTCCATACAACATATAACAATTGACTTAACACATTATCCATAAATTACCAATAAGCAATTACAATGCACAATTATTACAAAAAACAACCGTACCCAATCTTCTCATCATCCAAGCGTAGTCCAGGTTCGTCGTCCATTGTTCCATTCCTATGTTCCATTACCAGATTGCACTAAATTACTCAAACGCCTGCACAAACATCCAGGTCTTCACCTTTTTGCGGAATACCACTAGAGATGGTGCTAGTCTAATGTCCGTAGGAAGGGCGTTCCACAGCCGAGGAGCCACCACCGAGAAGGCCCTATCTCTCATCCCCGCCAGCCGAGCTTGAGAAGCAGGCGGGATCGAGAGCAGGGTCTCTCCGGAAGATCTACTACAACAATATTGCTGTAGCTCCATACCAACATATGTACACTGTCAGTAGAGCAGCCAATGTGGGATGGAGACATCGAGATGACAGGTAAGCATGGTATTTAGGCATGGTAGTCTACTGTGCAGATACCTCTTTGTGTATAGTGTGTTTGTAGTGTGCAAGCACCTCTAGAATTTGGAAGTTACATTAACGCTGAGATTTTCTGCATGTGAAATTTAAATCTTTTCACTGAGGTAGGTCTCTTTAAAGAAACATTGTGGTGCTATTGGATGTGATTGGATCAAGATATCTGCATTTACTTTGATGTTTATTTTTTAATGATGCCTCCCAGATTTCCCTGGCTAGTATAAGGATGCCACAGCAATTCTGAGAATTACAGCCAAAAATATCATTTCTGTGGAACATCCACATATGGAACATATGTAGATGTTCCATATCGTTGATGAATAAGGAATGTGCTATGGAGTACATAAAGTGACTTTGAGCCTGGCCACCTCTTTCTCTTTTCCTCTGATAGGATTTGATGACTGGGCATACAAACATAGTGGGAACTCAAGCCTACTGTTCTCCATTATATAATTGGAATTTGCATTGTCCGTGACACATCCCTGTGCTCCATGCCTAGAGATTATGCATAGAAGAAGGCAGCTGTGCCCATCCCTTGTTTCATCTGTTTCTTCCATTTTCTGTTCCTGTAAACAAGCTTTTCCCCTTCCTCTGGGCTCTGGACTGTTGTCCATGAGAGATCTGACAGTCCTCCATGCAGATCTTTGCCAAAGGGACTTATTCAGATGCTGTGTTGTGCTGCATGTCCTGCACTTGGAACTGTACAGTATGGAGATCCTAAGGTTAGAAGGGCCCACAAGTCTAACAGGGCAACCTCCTCCCAGTACAACGATAACATTTCGGAAATAGTAAGGGTCCCATCTTATTGTGAATAGCTTGCCCCCTTCTGTGGCCACCTCATGGGAAGGGCAGTGCTGTTGCCATTCTAGCCTAAGTATAATGGACACTGGTGGCATTGCCATGAATACTGGTGATGTGCCTGTTCTTTACCATCATTCTTGCACTTTCTACAGTGTTCCCTCACATCATGGGTGTTACGTTCCAGGACCACCTGCGATAAGTGAAATTCCGTGAAGTAGGGATGAGGAGGAGGCGAGGAGGAGCCAGGTGCTGGGCCTTAGTCTGGGGCTTGTTTCTGGGCTGGGCCTTGGTGCAGCCCTCTTCAGTGGCGGCTTCCTCCTCCTCGCCACCTCTGCTGCTCCCTTCCTCGGAGAGGGCCGTGCTGAAGCTTCCCCTCCTCGTCTTCCTCGGAGGCACTCTCCAAGGAAGGAGCGGGGAGCAGCGGAGACAGCAAGGAGGAGGAGGAGGCCGCCGCTGAAGAAGGCCACACCGAGGGTCCTCTGAGGAAGAGGAGGAGGAAGACGATGAGGAGGGGAGCCTCTGTGCGGCCCTCTCCAAGGAAGGAGTGGGGAGCAGCGGAGGTGGCAAGGAGGAGGCGGCTGCCAAGTGGGATTTATTTTTCCCCCAATTTTATTACTTTATAATTTTTTTTAAAAAAGCGAAACAGTGAGTCCACAATAAACAAACCGCGAAGTAGTGGGGGGACACTATATATTGGCTACCTTTTTTCTACAACTTTTGTGCTGGATGACTGCAGGATATTGTGTATGTTTCATTGTTACAGCAGCAGTGTAAGTTGGCAATGGGGGAGAATGTGGGTTGGGACCTTCTGGAAGCTGCTTGAGTGTTTGTAGTACATCAGTAAGATTTTCTTTTACTCTCAGCTACAACAGTTTAATCATGCACCACTACTATCACCCACTGCTGCAGTAAAACAGGCTGGGTTGCACAGGAGCGGAATGTTGTGAGAAAAGTCTTGAATTCAGTTCAGTTTTTGCACTGAAATTGAATTCCTGGGCTCAGGATGTTCTCATGCACCTTTTAAAAATTCAGTGTGTATGTCTTTTGCATCTGGCTTTACTTGCTCAATATCATGGTCTAAATTAAAGGAAAAAGTGCCAGGTGAGTCTCAATCTGCCCATTGCTGATGTAAATATCCTACTGTTGTTGATGTGGGGCAGGGGGAAATATAGGATTATTCAGCCCATATCTTAGATGCAGAAAACCTGAATTAGATTAATCATCGTCAACCTTTCGTCCTTCAGATGTTTTGCATTTCAAACTACATAAGGTCTATTCAGTCTGGCAAATGGTCAGCAATCCTAGAGTTGAAGTTCAAAACATCTGGAAGTTAAGATGCTGAACCACTGATGCCCTGTGATAAACCCTTTTTACTGATGAAGATTAGCAGTAACATCACACTCTACTTTTTCCTCAAGTAGCCATGTTAGTTGGTATCAGCATAAAAAGAAATAAAGGAATCCCAAGAAATTTCTAGCATAAGCTTTTGTGGACTCATCTACTTCATCAAACACAAGTGATTCTTCCTCAATCTATTTGAGCCCCCCACCCCACCCCAATAATTCTAATGTAAATAATTTAGGTCTCTTAAAACTCTGTAAAGTATCAGTGTGCAGCTTCAAAAACAGTGTGATCAAAGTTGCAGTCAGAGAGGGTACTGTAGGTGGAATCGGTTCCATGGATGCCAACAATCTCGCCGTCCTCATTTAGCTGGAGTTTCAAGATGACCCTGCAGGCCTGGATCTGTACCTCTTCCTCAGGATGAATGATGAGGGAGAGAAGACAATCGGCTAGACGGGAGTCATCTCCAAACAGGACCTCATGGAGGGACAACTCATTGTATTCCCAGTGCACTGACTGATAGTGAGGAGTCAAGCGACCCTCACAAAGTCGTTCTACAAATACCAGCAACTCAAAGAGGAGATTTCCAGGCCGGGATGTTTGGAATAGGTTGATGAATTCAGGGTGCACCTTAAACGAAAGGTAGTCAAGTTAGTTTTTAGTGTCCAAAAAGAGATGGTACAGGAGACTTGATGCCCTGCCCCCTTTGCTAACTTGAGAGTGGTTGGTTTATATTCAGAGCAAGGTACATGCCAGTGGCCCAATCTATACTGACCATTTAATGCAATTTCAAGTTGGTATTAAGCTCTTAAGCTGCAGCAGAGTTTAAAGAGCTAAACCAGAGGTTTATAACAACTAACACCAACTTACAAATAACTGTTTTCTGGGCCTGGTTTCTTAAATAGTAGTTGCAGCACAGCTAGAGAGGCTCTTGGATAATAGAAGTCATGTAGATGCATTTTAATCTGTGTTCAGGTCTAGTTTAGGTATGGAATCAACCTTGCTTGCCATGATGGAAGACCTTATCAAAAGGAGGGTACAGAAGTGCAATGCTGTTGTTCCTCCTTGATCTCCCAATGGCCTTTGATTGACTATGGTTTTCATCTACACTAGCACCTTGAGGTTGGAGTAGGTGTCATGGATTTCCAATTTCTATCTAGGACTGTGTCATGACCCCTTGGGAACTGTGCTATGAGGTGGTCCAGGGAAAAATCTGTTCCCAATGTTCTTTAACATCTATATGCATCCACTAAAGGGGAATTCACTAGAAAGTTTGGGCTGGGTATTTAATTATTTATTTATTGTATCAGGAGCGAACCAAGGGTACAGTTGTAATTTTTAAAAACCCACAAAGTTTAAAAACCCGGCATCATATTAGATGTCATTTGAGTAGTAGCTGGCCACTTGGAGTGCCTTTGGTGTTGCTATAAGAAGGCCCTCAGAAGGGCTGGGGTATTATTAGTATTTTTTTCTTTAGTTTTATTTTGCCTTTCTCTCTGTATGGGATTTAAGGTGCAATGCAGATGGCACTCAACTCTCTGTTGCATCTGAGGTGGGTGAAACTATGCATGGAGGTGACAGTGGGATGGATCTGGATAAAGTTTTACTCTTTCTACAAATACAGATATATGGTTTGGGAAGTGCTGTTAGATGGCAGCTACCACCCATTGTATCACAGGGATAGTCTGGTCACAGTGATTTGCACTTTTGGCTACAGTTTGAACTACTGCGAAACACTTTGTGTGTGTCTTGGTATGGTGGTTGTAATTAGAGCAGATAGAGTCTGTATAGTGGGGCCCCCTGCTATATCAAAAATTGGTGCTGAAGAATCTACACTGATTGGTAACTAGATCTTGAGCCATGTTCAAAGTGTTGCTTTTTTATTTATAAGGTTCTATAACAGGCATGGGCAAACTTCAGTCCTCCATCTGTATTGGATGTTGACTCCCACAATTCCTAACAGCTGGGAGGCTGAAGTTTGCCCTTGCCTATTCTATAAGGTTATCTAGGAACTTGCCTTTTCCTGATTAGACTACCCTTACATTATGCTGAGGAAAGAATGTTTATTGCACCATGACAAGGTGGCACTCCCTTGACTTTGCTATGGAGGAATGCATTCTAAGGTTGTTTCTGCTGATAATCAAAGACCCAGCTACTCACCCAGACTTTGTCTATTTATTTTCTAATTATTAATTCAACCAACCCTAGTGGATTTGACAGATTCTTTGATCTGATCTACATGGCCACTGTTTTGTTGTACTCATTTTTATTGTGAACTACTTCAGAATTTATAAAATGAAAAATGGTATATACATGTTGAAAAAACAAAAGTCTTCCCCATTCACATGGTTTATGCTTCTCCCCATTCCCTTTCCAAGTTTTTTTTAGTACAGAGAGGGGAAGAGGCTTATTACCTGGCAATTCATGATGTCAAATAGGAGGTTTTCCTTCTGGACTAAACTGCTAAGGAATTTTAGAACCTGCACCTGAAAAAAACAAACCAGTTGAAATCAAATAAATGATACCGGTAGGGTATTAGATAGACCCAATGTGGTGGAGTGGTTTGAATGCTGAGATTCAGAAAGACCTGACATTGAATCCACATTCGGCCGTGCCAATCCATGGGATGACCTTGGGCAAGTCATATTTATTAAACCTCCTCTTAATAAACCTTGCCAAGAAAATCTTATGATAGGGTTGCCATTAGTTGGAATTAACAACTTTACATTTGATGGCTTCTATAGAATGCCCTCTAGGAGTGAGGATTTAGACCAAGGGAGTGGTAGCAGGAAGACCATGAACTGTAATACCTGAGACAAAGTGTTTCCCATCTGCAGTATCTCCATGAGGGCCGGCAGAAGTTTTCTCAGCAACACATTCAAGTGATCTGGCAATTGCAGCCCGTTGAGTAATCTTAGTCCAGCAATATGCACATCACTATCCCATATATCGGTAATGATTTCAAGAACCTTGGGGATATATTCCTGCATCGAACAAAATAACATTTTGTTACTATGAATGAAAATCAGACTTTTACAATTCCCACTGCAGACAACGCACTGCTTGGAAACAGGATTCTTAACACAGATATTTGGTTTCTAAGAAACTGCCCAGCTCCGTGTTTCCATTAACCATATTTGTCTTGGTGCTGCTGGTGGTGTTAAAAAAGGTTTCTAAGATTGAATTATCACTTTAATCTTCTATCTATCTCTTGGAAATGATTAGGTGTGCAAGATGAATACTGACATCTACCTGAAAGATATATTTAATAATCATTCTTCCTTTAGTTATGAAATATTGAGAGAAGCTTAAGGTATTACTCTGCTTTTTAATCTGCCTTTCCCAAACTAGATGCCACTCACATAGGCTGAATAGCAACTCTAGAAGAAGAGCCTGGAGTCCTTAGGCCACTATGTGCTACAGCCACGCAGAGCAAGGAGTTCCCAGGGAAGTGACATTGGGACAGAATTGATTAGTGATGGCCCTCCAAATCAGGCATGGGCAAACTAGCCCTCCAGGTGTTTTGGATTTCAACTCCCACAATTCCTAACAGCCGGTAGTTTTTCCATGCCTTCTCCAGATGCCTCCTAAAGATGGCTCTTCAGCTATAGAATTAAAAACCATAGTGTGACCCTGTTTCTCTTGCCAGGGGCTTGAAGCTAAGACAGAGAGGACAGAATGTCATGTGTCTATCCCTGTAGGCAATATATCTTTCTTAGATGAGTAGATAACTTCCACTTGAAATCCAGCCCACAGGTCCAGGAGAAACCATTTGGTTTCATGTCTCACATCTACTACGTCATATGAACTAATCTGGAAGTTACATTTGTTGTTGTTGATGATGATTATGTTATTGTTGTTGTTGTGTCTGTACATTTTTTTTCCAATTTATAGTGGTCCAAAGATGAACCTATAACAGAATTTCCTTGGCAAGATTTGCCTTTTGGGGCTGAGAGAGTGTGACATGCCCAAAGACAACCAAAATGTTTCCATGGCTGTGCAAGGATTCAATCTCTGGTCTCCGGTTTTGTAGCCCAATGGTCAAACCACTACACTATGCTGACTTTTGCCCTAACATTAGAATATTTTATTTCAAAATTCCCAAATTTGATAAAGTCAAAATTTGAGTTTCCCTTCTCATATAAAATGGCCAGGGCAGTGAATTTCAATTGCCTACATGACCACTTGTTCTCTAATAAATTTATTAAATTTCTGGAACCATTTCCATTTCTGGAACCATTTCTCTTTCATTAACATCTGCTATTCAACTTTATTTATTGTGAGGAAACACAAATATAACCAACATGAATTGTGCAACTTTCTATCATTTATTCCCTGTGTGTAGCTTTTCTTCTCATAACAAAACTAAGGTCTTTATACATGAAATAATATGTTTCTGTTTGGACACTCTTGTGTGCAAGGAAGGATTATAAGGCTGAATGCACACCCTTCATATCTTCTCTTTAGTCAAGATGTTTGTTGTGAGGATGCTACATTCTTCTGATTGACCAAGGAATTATGTTTTGTCCCTGGAAAAGTTTCAATAAACCTTATATAGAGACTCTTTGTTGCTCATGTGACTGCTGTCCAGAAGATTGTTGCAAGACAGCCACTAACTTCTACTGGATCTTCATTAGGACATGCTTAATGACCAAAGGACACTTCCCTATCACGTCTTAATGAACTCTTACATATGCCCCTCCCCCCAATGAAATAAAAGGTAAAGGTTTTCCCCTGACATTAAGTCCAGTTGTGTCCAACTCTGGGGGTTGGTGCTCATCCCCATTTCTACGCCAAAGAACTGGCTTTGTCCACAGGCACCTCCAAGGTCATGTGGCCAGCATGACTGCATAGAGCGCCGTTACCTCCCCGCCAGTACCTATTGATTTACTCACATTTGCGTGTTTTCGAACTGCTAGGTCGTCAGAAGCTGGGGCTAAGAGCGGGAGCTCATGCCGCTCCCTGGATTTGAACCTGCAATCTTTCGGTTAGCAAGTTCAGCAGCTCAGCAATTTAACCCACTGTGCCACCGAGGGCCTCTCCCCCACCCCCATGTAATTAGAATAAATTAAACTTTTGGAAGTTGTGATCATTCATACAGCTGTGCAGATCTAAGCAATTTTTTAAAAGAAGGGAAAAGGGGAAAGCAAAACATTGTCATCTTTCCTAGAGCATGTGTAATCCTATTACCTATTAATTGTACAACAAATACTACACTTTTGTCATAAGAAAAATAATACACTATTGTCATAGTCTGCCCAAGTTTCTCAGATAAGTCCATGGGTTACTTTCATTAACAGAAAATGTGGTCTCTAGTGATGACAAAATGTGTTGCTATTCAATCAAAGGGGGAAGATTTATTTTCTCTCCTGAGGGAATGGTGGGATGGCAACTGCTCATAGAGGCTTCCAGTGTGCTTTCTCTTATAGGCATGTTCATTATTCAGGTGTTTCCATGTCTAAAAGAGACATCATGGATCAAATTCATAGACAGAAGTTTCACACCACTTCACATCACCTTAGGCTCATAGCTTTCCACTGGAGCCAATTCACATTTTCAGCTGACATCTCTCAAATAATAAGAAACGTGTCAATCTCTCCTGAGGCAGTGCACCAAATCAGACACAGTACAGCAATGTCAAGTGCAAATATTCACCTGGATTCTAATTCTAAACTTCCATATGCCTGCAAAGGCCTTGAGGGCATGCAGAGTCTGAATCTTGATGCCCACATCTGGATCATCCAGGAATGATGCCACTAGTTTGATGTCATCATAAGTACATGAGGATGCCTGGAAAAGCAAAGCAATAACATCACATCTGTGTTTATGCATATGGTAAAAGATATAGGCATGGCACAAGTTGCTAAAAAAAGGCATTTCTGAATAGCACCTCATAATTTGTCAACTCTATGTTGAACTCATTAACTTAACTGATTTTCTTTATTAAGAGATTACTTGCTTTTTAAGCTCTAAGCTCAAATACATTCAAAGCAGATAATGTAATTAAATTTTTACAAGGCAACCAACAAAACATAGTAAAGTGCAACCAAAAATGGCAAATAACATTATTCCCCCCAAAAGAAAAGAAATATATACAAAAAGAAGAAAGTCAGCAAAATGAATTGACATTCACATTAAAGGAAATTGACAAGAAAAATATGCTTAGGGAATAGGAGAATACAATCATTAGTAAAAACATTTCTGATTTAAGGAATTCCAAACAACTGGTGCTTCTTCATGGTAACTGTGTGATAGGCAGAACTACTTTTTATGAAATTGGCTTTTTTATAGTGTCAGAAGCGACTTGCAGGTTGCTTCTGGTGTGAGAGAATCAGCCATCTACAGAGACCTTGCCCAGGGGATGGTGGGGCTGACAGAAAGGAGCTATAATATAATAAAATAAAGCTTTATTTATATACTGCTCTATCTCTTCGAGGGGACACAGAGCGGTTTCCAAGAAACAACACCAGAACATACAGAGTAGACAACATAAGCATAAAATTAGCAAAACAACATAAGCATAAAAATGTCACAACACACATATATATTAAAAATAATCCTGCCTGTTCTTTGTGCATATTTGTTAAAGCGAGGAAAAAGGGTCAGTTTAAAAAGGCCAGGCTGAGGCTAGTGCAAAATCAAAATATAGGTCCAGGGAGTTGGATAAAGTACTATAATGGGCCTGTGACTGCTCATTTTCAGGGCCTATTAGAGGAATGACTGGGATAGTAAGTAGGAAGTGCAAGGCCATATGCTAACAATGTCTAGGACTGGGCTAGTATTGGTCATTCTCAAAGGCTTGTTGAAACCACCAGGTCTTCAAGCTCTTACGAAAAGAGGGGAGGGATGGAGCCTGTCTTATTTCTCTTGGAAGGACGTTCCAGAGGCAGGGGGCCACCACTGAGAAGGCCCTCGTCCCCACCAGCCATACTTGTGACAGTGGTGGGAGCGAAAGGAGGGCCTCCTTGGAAGATCTTAGAGTTCGTGTCTCAAGCTCACCCTGTCTCGCAGATTCTAACCTCTGACCTTCAGGTCTTCAGGTCAGGTGTTCGGCCAGCACAAGGGTTTAATCCATTGTGCCACCACTGCTGCTATGAAATCAGTGGATGCCCAGAATCTTACAGGAGAGTATTGTTCAGGAATCCTGATCCTAAGCAAATTTGAGGCTAATTAATGTGTGAAACAGCAACCAGAGTGGCCACTTGGTGTAAGAGGAACTATAAAAGTGGCAGTTCCTGGAATTACTGCATTCATGGTCTCTTGCCATTGGTCAGGTTGGGGCTGATGGAAATTAGAATCCAATAACATTTGGAGGGCCATCAGTTTCCCGGTTTGGATGAACCGTGTACCACAGTAGTCCTCTTTTAATTTCTTTATAGAAATAAATGGTGTTTAAATCTATATTCTTATCTAATATAAGTTCTTTATATCTCAAGATCTCTTGAAAACCAAAAAATATGAAATGATTGCAAACAGAAATCTAAAAGCTAATAACATGACTGCAGAACTGATCACTGCATGATTTGTAAACATATTTGCTGACAAACAATCAAAAAGACATTCAAAGGGAAATGTCAGTTTTGAGGTTGTTAATATTAGGAATTATTTTAAAAGGTGATAAAATCTGGAGATGATATATGTATGGAAGGGATTCCTTTCCTTCCAGACTTTTAGTTATATAAAATCTCAGCCAAGGTACTACAAATGCAGTTTAGGCATCCAATGAAAAGAGGCATGCAAAACCACATAGGAAATGCAAGTCACAAATAGAAGATGTCTAGAGACAATCTATTTGCAGTGTCTCATTCTCTGCAATGTCCTAAATTTGGGGTGGGGGTGAATTCCTATGCCGGGGGGGGGGGGAATGACATCACTTGGGTCCCCACTATAGCTAAACACCTGGTTCTCAGGTGTTTAATAATAATCTAGGATGTATTGTTTAGTCCTCATGCAGTTGCTGCTTCCCTCTATGCCTTCTAAGCTGTTTACATTTCTCAGTACAAGCTGCAAGTCTCCCACCATCAGGTCTCACTGAGTGTTCAAACAGATGAGATGGCCTAAACATGGCTCACTCTCCTAAACCTAGTGGCTTTTGTCATGTTCTTCCAAGGCTATAGTGCACACCATGCAAACTGGTATTTTCACCTCTGTGTCCAGTAGATAAGCAGAGCGGGTGATGCCATGGAGTATCATATTCTTGGAGTAGTCATCTAGCCTTGGATTGAGAGAGGACAAGTGTCCCCTGAGTTCTCTGGATTCTATCTCACTTTTACTCTGATGTGCGATGGCCAATTCTGAAAGCAAAAAGAGAAATGAAGTAAACTCAAGGATGGCAGGAAGGGGAAAGAATCAAAATATTTGGCAGTGTTGAATGGAACATCTGAACAGCAGCGTTATATCTCATATGTTTTGACATGGGTTTGAATACCTAAAATAAGAACATTGGTTTGCTGCAGGCAAACCAATGGTTCCAGTTGTTGACTAGAAGTAGTTGACTTCCATTTCAGTAGAGTAATGAAAACACTTTAGGCTTTAGCCTGAAATTTAAAGGATCAATTCTGATGGCTAAGAAACTTATCAGGCGCAGCCTTCTCTGTATCTATTCTCTGTTTTCAGGTACTGGCAAAATGGAGTCCCACATAGGCCACCCCATGACACATCGCCACTTCCAGTGGCTGCCCATGGAATCTGTTTTACCACACCTGAAAATGGAGAGATGATTTTGTGCTACCTATTTTCTAATTGCAGAAAATGGAAAAGGAAGTGGAAAAGCATGACAAATTGCAGAAAATGATGTGGAATGGCTAGTCATGCCAAAAGATGGGGAAAGATGGCAGGGAATGAAGGAGGATGGTTGCCTCCACTTTCCCCTTGCCCGTCTGATGAGGTCCTAAATGAAGGCCACAGCCCATCACAATTCATCCTTGACCTTGGTTTGTTTGTTATAAAGACTGGTATATCTGTGGCACCAACAAAATATCCTGACAGGGGGGCAAACAGATCCCACCATTTGACACCAAATTATAAAGGCACGTGTATGGCAAAACAACAGCTGGACAGGGGTAAAACAGATCCCACCAACTGTCACTCCAATATAAAGAATTTACACCACTCTGGCACCAGTATATAACATGTGAGGGGATATCTCTAATTAACTTCCGCTGCCACCATAAACTGCAAGTACAGGAACACTCTAGCTGCTTTAAAATGTTAAAAGGATTTTAAGAATCACCAAGCACTGTGTCTTCTTATTTGCTTCTTTAAAAGAAAACAAGTTGAGGTTGAATGGAAAGAACTATAGCCACAAATGGCACACTTGACTCAGGCTTTTTAAGTTTTAAAAAATATTCAAGAGAACGTTTATTGATGAGAATACAGAGAAGTGAATGCTGTTTAATAAGCTTGATGGTTACAGAGAAAATGTTGGTTCTTGTTTTTAAAGCGTAATGGTTACATGTACTGGTTCTTTCTTTTGTTACAACACAGAGATTTTCCTCTCTTTAAACACAAGTACTCTTGACAGGATCTGAATCTCTGCCAAGATACAACTGTAGCTTAGCTACCCTCAACTGTGGCCTAGCTAACTACACTCCAGCTATTTCTCCTAAATAGCTATCCCAGTTTGCTACAGCTTCTCTTGCTGGCAAACCTAAGGCAAACTGCCTTCTCTCAACTGATCTTAAAACACGAACTCCTAAACTACTTCTCTAATCCTGCTCTAAACTCTAGCAACAACAGACTGACAAAAAGCCCTATTCTTTCCCTCCAAACAGTCTAAACTCCGCCCCCCTTTAATAAACCAATCCTGGCTGTTCTAATCCTAACTCAGGCCTAGGCCACTCCCCCTCTCTGAAATGGTGCTTTCCCTAAACTAAAATGGCTCCTGCTGCCTTCTGCCAGGCCCACTAAAGCTGCAACTAACTGGCCTGCTTCTCCTAGGCCCTGCCACCCAGGCTGGAAAGGTAAGGGATCTTTACATTCGTCATGAAATCCAAAGCAAGTATAAGATGGTGGTCTGACTCATTTCTCTCCTAACAAGACAGAAAAAAATGCTTGATTTACTAGGGGAGAAACATGCATGGATGCCAGATTCTGCCTAGCTCAGATATCACAATATGCAAATAATAAGTAACTAGACGGCTGCTTATAAATGGCAAACCAGAGTTCACACCATGTAAGCTAGACCTGGATCTAGGGATGTATTATTAATGGTTCAGCTGATGCAATTGCTCCAGGCCCCTGATTAACCACGAATCCAGTGCTGAGGAAAACAAACTATAGCTTGCTTTATCTTCTTCCCTTTTCATCTCTGCTTGATATATTATTTGAGTAGTTGAGTAAAAATGCATGAGGGCCTATTGTTAATATTGAAGTTGCAGGTCTGAAAATGGGTTCACATATGAAGACTTTTGGATTACTGACTACTATAATATTGAATTTCAGCGCTGCCAATCTTAGAATAGCTCACAAATGTGTATCAAAGAGACCCTATTTTGGAAACTGTATCAAATCCCCAACCACTTTCCTCCTGCTTTTCCTGTATCTTTTGCAAAGAAAATATTTTAATGCATTCACCTGGTTCAGTGAAGCGCTCTCTCTCAATAATTCTGCTTCTCACAAGAAGGGCCATGCCAGACACTGGAATGTCAGGATATGGAAATATATGATATTTAATTCATAGCATTCTATATTTCATTAAGGAGATTGCTCCCTTCTAGGCAGGTGTACAAAACTAGGATGTCTTCGCCCAGCCCTTGCATGCTAAGCATTAGAAAACACTGTGCACTCTAAGAGATGCAACTCAAAAAGCCAAGGATATAGTAGAAATTGAAACCGAATGTATGGTCGGTAATAAAAGGCACAAAGATATTGCACAACCATTTCTTTGTTCTATTATTTCAGATGTCATTCCCCTGTATGAAACTGTACAAGTGGAAGCTGCAGTCATCCTCAGCCAGTATAGATAGCACTATGCTGGGAAGGAAAACAAGCAGAGTTGTGGTGGATCAGACCAAAGATTATCTTGTCAACCTCTGTTCAAACAGTGGTCAATCAGTTTTCAATGAGGAACCGATCAGGAGGAAATAGGTGCACTTGCTGCCTCTGCCTTGTGTTCCCAGTAAAAAAATACAGAGCAACATATTGCTTCTGGTATCTGAGATGGTATTGCCATCCTTGCTTACTTCTAGATAAATCTGGAAATGCCAAGATTCTTATATTTTCTTGATCTCAAAGTGTTTCCTAGGGTATTATCACACACACACACACACACACACACACACACACACACACACACACCCATTCTGTTTAAATTAACCAGTATTTTCTGAAATGAATTGCATTGGTTGTTTGCTGTATGTTTGTAATGGTGCTTTGACTGCAATATTCCTACTTCTTGGCAGGGGGTGGGACTGGATGGCCCTTGAGGTCTCTTCCAACTCTATGATTCTATGATTCTATCAGAATCAATTAAAATGGCTGCCAAGTAAACACAGCTATTGTCCTCAGGACACAGATTCAACTGACGGAAAGAAGGATTCGAGCTCTAAAATAAAACTATCCTAACATATAATTGACTAGGATAGTATTGCTAGAGTACTCTAACATTTTGACTCTAGTCCCTTCTACACTGATACAATGCAGTTTGAAGATGACTTGTCTTAAATCTCCCAATGATGACCTTGGGTTACATCACTATAAGTGAAGCAGAAGGTTCTCTTCTCTATTATCTCTGTATAAGTAATGATTTTATACACCACTATTGTGTTACCATTTGCTTGTCTTAAAAAAAAAAAGCTTAACACAGCCCAAAATGTTGTGTCCTTCCCTCTCGGGGAGAGTTGCTCCAGCCCCTTGATCATTTCATTGGCCTGGTTCTGCACCTAGAAGGGGATGATGGAGATGGTAGTCCAACACATCCAGAATGGCCAGCTTGGTTAACCCAGATGGATAGAACTAAGAGAATGGGAACTCTCTGTCCTAACCTTGATGGCAATAAAGATGTCTGAAATGAACTAACTGTTGGTAGATAACCAAAAGCCTGTTTTATGGATGATGAACATAATGTAACACAATGCAATAGTGTAAGTAACATGTGTTTCTGCCAACTCCCATAAAATCCCTACATACTCCGTTCAATAATTTGGGATTAAACCAGTGCTGCATGGAAATTGCTTTACAGATGAACAAACATATAAAATAACTTATGGGATGGCCACAACCACTTCCAGTACATAGCAATATGCTTTTGGTATATTGCATCCATTTCCCCAAATCCCCACCTTACTCACTGGCAAATGATAGTTGCTCAGGACTGTAGGGAGGGCTGTTGATCCCTGCCAATATGGTTTTGGCTATCAGGAAGGCGGCCCCAGCACTGGTAGCTGCAGACACCACATTTTTTGTCGTTACCAGCTCTAAATAGTTCATGCCCTCCTTGCTCTGAACTCCCAGAGATCCTGGCCCAAAACCCTAGGACTTGAACCCAATAAAGACTCCAGTGGAAATACTGGCAAGACTTCTCACGGCTTGGTTTGTGATGTCACCAGATTCCATCATGACCTCTCTGACAGACCAGCTGCAGAAACCGAAAGCTCATGTGAGCCTAAGTCCTTGCTTTCTCATGTTTTGGCATTATTACCGAAACCACTTTTTCAAATTTCTTTTCAAGTGTAACACAACCTTGCATTTTCAGGTAAAAGTGTGGACTGGAAAAGAAAGGTGAATGTTTTGGCAAATAACACTGGCCTACATGAGCCCTGTTTCTGGGTATATTTGGCCCACTGATTCCAAAAATGGCATCAGTTTTCCCCTATTAGCTCTAGTTGTTTAGATACAGAACATATGCCATCTACCAGTCAGCATCTGCTTGCCCAGAAAAAACATAATATCCACGGTGTTCTATTGGCAGCTAAGAAATTAGAGCTGACGCAGTCTTTCCAAAGCGATTTTCTGAATCAGCACCTTAAATAGTCCTAGGACACAAAGATTTTTTTTTCTGTTTAGCTGGTAATCTATTGCTGGAGCTCAGTTCAAATCTTAACAGCCATACAGCCTGGTTAGAAAGAGTCCTATACATTTCAGGATTAAGCATATTAGACTAGTTAAAACTATGTATACAATGTATTTATAACCAAATTGGTTCTATTTCTCTGTCACACGCTGAAGTGGAAGCCAGGATTGGTGCAAAATAATTGAGCAGCAATATGGATCATTTCCAGATTAGAAATGTAAGCTTTCCAGAAATTTTGAATGGGGATGGATTTTCAGGGGGAAAATGCAAAAGCCTATATCAGTATCATTTACATGTGGGAAATTTATTTATTTATTTATTTACAGTATTTATATTCTGCCCTTCTCACCCTGCAGGGACTCAGGGTGGATTACAATGCATATATACATGGCAAACATTCCATGCCATAGACATACAACATATATAGACAGACACAGAGGCAATTTAACATTCCAGCTTTCCGGCTTCATGAGGGTATACTTGATTCCAGCCATGGGTGAGCTGTTGCTTCATCATCCACTTGTGACACCAAGTTCTTGATGGAGTACTTCCTAATTCTTATGCACACTGCTGGAAGGTTTTATAGTGTCACAAATTAGATAAATTAGTCTCCCCGCATAAAGCGGTGCCTAAATTCCCTACTTGACAGATGCAACTGTCTTTCGGGCTGCATAGGTCTGAGTCCCCTCGGGGAGATGGAGCGGTATATAAATAAAGATGATGATGATGATGATTATAGGTCAAGAGCAAGCTAGACGATTAATGGTCGGGAGCTCACTCTGACTCGGGCTGGCTTTGAACTCATGACCTCTTAGTCAGTAGTGATTTAATGCAGCTGGCTACTAACTAGCTGTACCACAGCCTGGTCTATCATTGCTTTAAGAACAGAAAATGTATTGTATATCACTTGACCTGATAAAACTTGATAATTTTAATATGCCAGGTCAAGTGATATACAATAATATACAATAATATTATCATGTTTGATAAAATTGATGTTCTAGCTAGAATACAATTGCAAGCCAGATTTCTGTTACAGATGGAACTATAACACCATGAACTCTAATGAACACCTGAACTACAGAGTTTTACCAGTCTGAGAAGCAGGCAAGCAAGCAAACAAAAACAATAGAAAAATATTATTTTGGTTCCTTTATTTTCCCATAGTGACAAGTAGGCATAACACCCTCATTTCCTTTAAAGAATTGGGATAGTGAAATGCAAATTAGGAACTCTAATGATCTGATACCATATATCGTCTTATATGAAATACTTCTTCTTACATCTCTTTTTTAAAGAAATGATTTTGAAGGCATAAATAGATGAAGACTTTTTCTTAAATATTTTATTCATTATTCGGAAAGGAAGTGTTTGATAGTCCATTTTCCCCTATTTTGCTGGGGGAATAAGCTATTTTTTCCTATTTTTTCCCCAAGCTTTTACATTTCTTTTTCACATATCATTGAGTGAGCATAAGCTCTGCTCCTACACTTTTACGATATTCTGGATTGCAAACATACATTTCCCCTTCGCAATGAATGGCTGCTTTTAATTTCTATGGGAAATGTGAAAATGTTCCATATTAACCCTCTCAATCACAATTTCTGTTCACACATAGGGCAATGCTCCTAATACCCATAACACGAAGCAAAGTGAATCTCTGCAGACTTCTGTGCTGACATAATATATTGCTGTCCTATTACAGCCCCCCACAAATAATGCCACATCTCTACTATTATCATGTTGGTGGCTCAGAGATGCAAATAGAAATAAATAGGCATACTTTACGCTTCTTGAGGATGTGTTTCTGGTGCTGCTCCACTTCTCAGTGGTGAGAAATGAAATAATCCTTACACAGTTTCCTGTTTGACTCCAAATTGGCAAAACTCAATACTACCATAGGATGGAGGAGGAGATGAGGGCTTTCTGGATGGGTTGTCCTTCTCTCTTGATCAGATGAAAGAGGGATGGAAAAAACAGGAAATACTGCTGTTTATAGGTGAATGTATGATGGCTTCTGCTCATCTAACCAGCTTCTTTATCTTCACAATAAAAGAGGCAGTGGTAATAATAATAAAAATAATTATTATAATTATTATTATTATTACCCCACTTTTCTCCCTCACAGGATCCAAAGTGGCTTACAGCATCTTAAAATCATACAAACAATAATTTGCCTCCAAATGTCTCCTTAATTACAGATTTAGAAACTGTTATTCCACCATGGTCACATTGAAGGTGGCAATGGATATATTCTGCTTTGAGCATCCCTTGTTATTACACCACTCTTCATTAGTGAAATTTCATCATTGCATCCATCCTGAGATCATACTTGTGCATACCCTTGCAACCTCACCTTCTCACACTATTGCCGTTCCTTGCTTTTTAGTGCAATTGCACAATTCCAGCATTTAAAAACAAAAAAAGGCAAATGTAAATAAAAAGGAAAGGAGGGAGAGGAGGAGGAAGAGAGAAAAATCCCATCCTTCATTCCACTTTACTGCTGAAATGCCAGCACAAAAGTGGGAGAGATCTATCACACCAAGGTAGATGATGGGAACATTACAGGATTGGATGTCATTGGTGGGTTTTACCTATTAATAGCTAGTGTCAGAAGAATAATGGGCGGGGGACACACAGACTCCCTATTATTAATAGCTAGAGGCAGAAGAATAATTGGGAGGACCACAGGATCCATATAGAGTTGTATGATAGGCACCATTACCAAAGGTGACAGTCCAGCTGTGGGGCCAGTTTGCCTGCCTCATGTGATAAACTCCTTAGTCTAGCCTATAAAAAGATCATATATACATCTCATGTTGTCATGCCCTTCAACTTTCCTGTTTTGGAAGGGACATTCCCAATTAATCCTCTATCATCTTACTTTTCAGCTGCTTTGAAAATGCCTCAGTTTCCCTCTCCTCCTCTCTCTTTCCCTTTTTGTCCTCATCTAATTTAATTGTTGTAATAAGGAAATCTTACTTACTTACTTAGGCATCCCTCATAGTCCAAGGATGATGGTCCTACAAGTGTAGTGTCCTGGTGGTGGGTTCGTAGGGTATTTTTTTTGTCGTGTCAGGAGCAACTTGAGAAACCGCAAGTCACTTCTGTTGTGAGAGAATTGGCTGTCTGCAAGGTCCGTAGGTGACTATGGAGCCCTATTCTTGATCTGCATGTTCTCCCACAGTGAGGGCATTGGTATCCAGGTGGAAGGCGGTCCTGGTCGGGGTTGGCTTGATGCGCCTTCATTCGTGCCTCTTCAAATTCTACAGCACTGCTGGTCACAGTTGACCTCCAATTGGAGCGCTCAAGGGCCAGGGCTTCCCAGTTCTCAGTGTCTATGCCAGAGTTTTTAAGGTTGGCCTTGAGCCCATCTTTGAATCCCTTTTCCTGTCCACCAACATTCCGTTTTCCATTCTTGGGTTTGGAATAGAGCAACTGCTTTGGGAGACGGTGGTCAGGCATCCGGACAACAATAAGGAATTCAGAGTGCAAAGCAAATTAGTATTCAATGAACCTAGTAAAGGGGAGAGCAGAGGAGGAGGCAGAATTTTGTTCTTCCCTGTAGATTCAAGTAAAATTGTTACACCCCCTCCTACCATATGTGTGCTTCATCATTAATAACTTCTACCATACTCTGACTTTGTTTGGACACATGTCCTGGTTTTTATCTCTGAAATGTTGAATGGTATGTATTATGAAACACGAGCCAAACAATAAGTTATTTATTTCCTGGCACTGGAACACTACTGGCAGTATACACCAGTATTTTCCCTTACCATACTCCACATAAATGGATAGTCTCACTGAAAATGCAAGTATATTTCCTTTTCATTTGGTTCACTGGTGCACATAGTTCAGTAATCCTTTTTTCAGATAAGCTCATGGAAGCTTATACGTTTAGGGAAAGTGTCAATATTTATAGACGAAGAAGCTTTCTATCATACCAGCCAAGGAAGACTTGTTGGCTTCCAAAATAATCCATAAGGCCTCTTTTCCCACAGATACTGAGGAGGAAGAGAACACACAAATCTTTTGCAAAAGTTTCAGAATAAAAAGAACAATGTTTCTGGTTGATGCCTTGTTACGGTGAGTCTTTCATCCTGAAGATGCAAAATGCTAACGAAGCAAATAGCATCTCCTAGAAGCCCAATTAAAACCCAAAAAACTTACAATTGTCTATTTACTTGGCTCCCAAAAGTCAAACATAAAGAAATCCTGGCATTTCCCCCCCAGGGAAATAGGTACAGCAAGTCCCACTGAAAATGCTTTCTTGCATTCTTAAATGTTTTTTTTTTTATTTAATTTAGTGTCAGAAGCCTGAAGAGGGAGCTCTGGTTCAAAGCTAGAAATTCCAGTGGGTTATAATAGAGAGGCAGACCCTGGTATGTGATGTCTTTTTGAGCTATAATTGTAT